ATGTTTTCAGAGTTTTCCGAGTCCTATCTTCAGTTTGTTTACAGCCGGCTGACTCCTCCCCTCGTGTATACAAGTTGTTTAATTGAGGGACTAGAGAAAAGAAGAATAACATACTGTACTCACTGCTTAACTGTGTTTCTAGATCACGCTCATTTCAGGTAAATTTACATGCAGTGTGAAGATACCAGCATAATAAAGATCACTAGCATTAGCATGCTAACACAACAATGCACCGCAAGTTGTTTTGGTTTCATGCTGGTGCTCAAGGGCGACATCTGCTGGATCAAAAAATCGCATATAAAGCCTTTAAAGCTCCTGCAAACCCACAACAGCCCCAAACTGTCACTAACGGTTCTGTTAGCGTTCATGTCAGCGTTGGAAAAAAAATCAAAACCTCTCACTGCGGCTCCTTTAGACGGCCCGTATTAAGAGCTTTTATTGAGGTGTGTTTATCCTCTGATAGTTCCAGGCTGAGCGTCATGTGTGAACACAAACAGCTGAATATTTCTCCTCCAGCCTCCTCCTATTTATTCTACAAAATGTCCGAGTGACAGCGTCTCACCCCTCTCCGTCTTTTCCCGCCGCCTGACACAGACGACAGTGAAAAAGTCGCTCACGCTGCTTTGCTGTCGTGCACCGAGGTTCCAGTTTGTCACTTTCTTTGTTCCTCTTGTCGTCAGTCACCCGTGAAAGCCTGCGTGTGAATGTCACCATTGATGAAGCCGTCTGCACAGGTGGCAACATTCTGCTGTCGCTGCGTCTGATTGTGAGTGTGAACAGACATTGTTCAGTCAAAGTGTGACATTTGGGCGTCTGGCAGGAGCAGACTGCCGTGTTTTAAAGCAGGAAAAAGCACCTGAGCTTCATCTAGTTTGAAGAGAGAAGCAGAAATAAAAAAAAGACATGTTGCTGTCTTCATGGATTTCCAAAGTTAACATCCGGCTGTGCGATAAATCAGACAGGATTTGGGGTCAGATTCAGATTGACGTTGATGTTCAGGTTATTATCTGTGCACTCCTGAGGTAAGACATGACAAAAAAAAAGCAACGCTGATGTAGCGACTCCTTCATACAACACTATAATGAGAATATGTGTCTTTCTATCAATGCTACGTGTAGTTGAACAGAATCTCAATGTGAACTAAAGAGTAGAGAAGAACATACTGGAGAACAGGAAACATAATGCAGCAGGTTCATTAGAGCACAGAGATGGTAGAGGTGGCGTGCAGACAGTCTATGGTCGTGCAGTGATCACAGGGAATAAACGTCACCACCCCCTCCCACTCGCTCCAGGTGAATTCTCCTGATTATATCCTGCTGCGTTCTCCCATCAGCTCACTCTGACTTTCTGCAGAATAAATACGAGGAGGCTGGAGGAGAAACTCAAACATTCAGCTGTTTGTGTTCACACATGACGCTCAGCTTGGAGTTTTTCTGGAGTTTTCTTGGAAGCACTAAAAGGCGTCCGTATTAAAGCTGAGTGGCTTCTGCATTGTTCTCCACTCTGCAGCCTGGCACATACTTCATTATTCATCATTCCCCAGCTGTAGCAGACAAACATATTTCCCCGAACACTTCTACAGTCTTCTTGGTGCTTCATTATGCATTCACATGACACAACACTGGCTGTCCTCTCAGAGTTGAACACGGGGACTCTTCAGAACCTGTCTGCAGCAGGAGAGCGGCTCTGTGTTGGTTTGACACAAGTGTAACCGAGAAGGTATCATTATCAATCTTCTCCTGCACATTTGGGTCATGCATGCATTAACCTGCATGTGGCCCTGGCAGCAGCATGATTTAATATTACAGAGTTTCATCCCCGGTGCATTTGGTCGAGTCTGGCTGGTAGCTAATCTTCATGTGGCCCACATTTCCGTCCCAAAATAGTCCACCCTCCTCTGAAGCATTAAATGAGAAATGTAAACAGTTGTGTGGGAACAGAGGCGATCATATCAAAGGCCATGTGGAAAGAGCTGCAGCGGAGCGGGGAAAACCCGACCGGACTCGATCATGTTCACAGAGAAATCTTAACAAAAGAATATCTTTGAAAGGACTTTGACAGAATCAGAATCAGCTTTATTGGCCAGGTATGCTTCAACACACAAGGCATTTTACTTTCCTCTTTGTACAAAGGTATATATTAAATATCAACAATGAACACAAAAAAAGCAAAGACTAATATGTACAAGGCTAATCAGGGTGCTAATAAAACCATATTGATACCTGTTTTGTTACCATGGCAACAAAAATAGAATCCAAGGCACTCAGTATGGATAATGTCTGGTTTTTGTTTGCTAAACATTGCAGATAAACTCCAGTACCCCAGTTGGGCCACCCCAGTCCTAAATGTCTGGACACGCCCCTGCTCGCTGCAGCTTCTGGTTACAAACATGACTAAAGATGTGTACTTCGATTATTAGAATATAGATTTCAACATTTTAAAACATGTTGTTGGACGAGCATTGCAAATGAGCTCATGCTATAGATGCTGTAGTGTGTGGCAACACTTTGCTGGCTCCTTACTTGTCCATATACTAATAAACATGACATAAAAGAAACTGAAACTTCCAGAGCCTCATTCCCTTCAGGGATTTTGTTGTACTTTTACAGAAGCTCGAGACAAAACCTTTGACTTTCTAACTAAACATTGTATTTTAGAATCTGACCAGCAGTCTCCACTTCTGCTCTGCTCCTTTCTATTTTTTATTTTCTGCCTTTAGAATGTTTTGAGCTTCATGTCGATCTTTAGCTTCGTGCTGTTTTGACTCGGTTATCTGGACCAGGCCTTTTCTCTCAGTGAGGTTTCTTTTTAAAAGAATAATATGAAATGCTAAAGTAGAAGAGGGTAGAGTCTGGTCCTTTTCTCAGTGATGTGGTGCTTCCCTCATTAAGTCACGGGGGGTTTCCCATGGTTACAGTAGTAGCAGAAACGAGTCATACCACCAGCACTAAAGAACAAGAAAAAAGCATTTAGGTCAAAGTGGGCACTCACAGTCTGCAGCATGTGTGATGTGTGTGGTGTGAGTCCATGCAGAAGAGATGATTCCAGAGTAACACCTCTACTCCTTTTTATCCCAGAGGATGAAGCTCTGGATGAGATGGACGAGAGAGAGGAACCTGATGGTTCACTTCCTGCGTCACTCTGCAGAACAGAACAGTTTTTGTTTTTTAGCATCTTCTTGTCTTTGTCCTCATCAAACCGTTTTCCACGTCTGAGCAGGACTCATCAGATAGAGCTGTGGGAAGAATCTGTATCAACACACAGACACAACTGTTGATCTTTTTATACATTATTACCATGGTAAAATCAAAATAAATATAGTTTCTGCTCCAAAGAGAATACAAATAACTGCCCGTTATGTGCACTACGGAGACATGTTGCCCTGGTGATAGGGGCGCTGGTGGCACGGGGAGTTGGTGCGCCCCTTGTGCGGAGGCTGCGGACCCGGGTTCTTATCTGACATGTGGCTCCAGTCTCGCTTGCCATTCCCCCTCTCTCTATTTCTCAAATATGCGGAAAATCGAACACGCCCCATTTATGGAGGCTTAAGTTCTCTAAGCAGACAGCCTGGGTTCACAGCCGATCTACATGTCATTTCTCATGTCTCTCTCTCTCTCTCTCTCTCTCTCTCTCTCCTTGATTTCCTGCTCTATCCACTGTCCTGTCTCTCTTATAAAGGTGTAAACCCCTTCCCCACAAGTTTCTCTGGTGATGTCAGCAGAGTTCAGAAGTTTCTTAAAATAAAGAATCATCATATTTAAATCTTAATTTAACACTATTTCACCTGCAAAAGTTTAATTTCTTAAAATACTTCTCTGTTACATCTCTTACAAGCACGTCAATCTTCAACACCACATTTTTCTGTCTGTACTGTTTTTTAAACTTGAAAAATGTTTGTGCACAAAACCTGTGCACAAAACTCCTGAAACAGATCAGTAGTGTGTCATCAGCTGAGTTGGGCTGAGCAGCGTTTCACGACAGGTTCTCATTACAGATACAAATATTTTGGACCGAGGTTTACAGATTTAGACTTTGATATAACCAGATGAAACAGAGGTCTGCAAAGTTCTCTGGAAGTTTGGAGACAGAGTTTGCATTTGTAAAAAGGTTATAATTGCAAAAACATGTTCTCCCTATTCCCTGTTTATTGCCCCTGGGTATCTCTGTTGGTCCTCTGGTTTTTCCCACCGCTAGAACCAAACTGGTCCCCTGTTATCAAGCGTACACTTTAAGATTTGTAGGGACGTTGCTCACAGATTAAAGTGTAAACCATGATGTGAGTTAGCGGTGTGTGAGCACCTCACGTCTGAAAGAGGAAACCCATCATTCTCTTTACTCTGGATGAATAAAACATCAGTTTCTCTGTTAATTATTCCCCTGGTGAAAGAAAACTAAACAAAGGGAAAGTTGCCACCTTTGTCCTCTAAAGTTAATGCGACTGGTTGAACTCTGACCTCATGCTTCAGTACATTTCGTCTGTTGTTCTAGGTGTGTGTTGTTGTTGTTGATCATTCTCCTAACATACATCAGATAAAAGGTCAAGGTGGCGTCAGTATGCAGAACGATCCATCGTGCATCATCTGCGGGGTGATGATGCTGGGAGCAATAGGATCAGATATCGGGTACATGTGAACGTTTAGCTGAACATCTGCCTCTTGTTGCTCTAATTTGCTTCTCCGCCATCTGTTAGGCATCGCCTGGAAGCACCAACAAAGATGAACGTCTATCTAGTTATAAACCCACAAGCTCCTCTCAAGTACAACCATTAGCTGAATTCGATGATATGCTCTACATATTTCTGATACTAAAACATCCCTCCGCTCTGCTCAGTGGTCGTTTGTTACCAGATAACAGTTAACACGTTGAAGTAGGTCAGCAGAACGATCATCTTTATGGCTTTTCTGAGTTTTCAATCTGCTTGTTCCTGTGTTTAACATTAAAGTGTCTCAGATGTTGCTGTGTGCTAATATGTCTCTTGTGTTTTTGTTTCTGTGCCACAGATTCGACACTCCCAGCTGTCGTTCAGTGTTGGCGGCACGCTGTGAGGAAAAGGCTGCACTGGGCCGTGCCTCTGCGCTCCTCTGACACTCGTCCTTGACATCCAAATGCTGCGCGTCGATCGTCGAGCCTGCCGCCTTCTGTGAGTTATGACGACGGCTGCTTCTGCGACTCAGGAACGAGGCTCCTCCTTGGTTCAGCACTGAGAAAAAAAATCACATGATGTGATGAAGAAGGGTCCTGGAAGTCTGCTCTTCAAAGAGTCCGCCGGCAGGATATGAGTATTTTGAGCCCTGTGACGGATAGCAAATCAAACCTTGTGGGAATTGTGGGAGGCCCAGAAGAATTCTCCAGAGTCATGCAGTCAGAGGAGCTGTTCAGCAGGAAACTCAAAGCCCTGAACGGCAGCATGGGACCGCCAGTCTCCAACATGCAGGGAAAGCCCGACGTCACAGGCAAAACAAACGGTAATCCAGCCATGCCTAAAATGGGTGTCAGAGCGCGGGTGACAGAATGGCCGCCAAGGAAAGACGGATGGGACGGACGGCCTTCACCGAACTATCAGAGTGTGATACCCGTGTTTCAGAACGGACAGCAGGATCACACTGTGGAAATCCTGGAGCAGGAACAGGTGTGTGTGGAGCTGGAGTACTCTGACAAATATTCACTGAGTGACCTGCTCAGCCACTCCCCGCTGAAGGGTCTCCACCCCATCCGTCAGCGCAGCAACAGCGATGTGACCATCAGTGACATCGACTCTGAGGACATAATGGACCAGCACGCCGTCAATCCAAACACAGGGGCCTCGCTGCACCGGGAATACGGCAGCACGTCGTCCATCGACCGGCAGGGTCTGAGTGGAGACGGCTTCTTTACCATGCTCAGGGGCTACAGAGTGGACACCCTGGACCACCGCAGCATACCCCCTTTAGGTTTCCCTGAGCTGTTGCGTTGCGACGCCTCGCTCTCCCCAAGCCTGCAAACAGCAGCGCAGATCGCCCGGGGTGAGATAGTCCACATTCCGGGATACGACTACATAGATAGCTCGCTCCTGTACAGCCGGGAGCGGGAGAAGTCCTTCATGAGGCGTCTGAAATCAGAATCCTCTGAGACGTCTTTGTTCAGGAAGCTTCGGACCATAAAAAGCGAGAGCGACGCCCTGCGGCTCTCCATAGAGGAGGACAGACGACCACTCAGCTTTCAGAAGTGCTTTGCGCATTACGACGTCCAGAGCGTTCTCTTTAACATCAGTGAGGCCGTCGCCAGCAGAGCCACCCTGAGCCAGAGGAAGAACACCACGACGGGGGCGTCGGCGGCCTCGGCCGGACCCGGAGCTGGAGGACTTCCTGGAGTTGGAGTCGGGCCTGGACCGGCAGCAGGAACAGACCCTGGAGCAGCAGGATGTAGCAGTGGCAATGTCCCCATGTTCGAGTCCCCTCTGGGCAGCAGGGAGGACTTGAACCCCAAAGAGAACCTGGACGCTGACGAAGGCGACGGGAAGAGCAGCTCTCTGGTGCTGAGCTGTCCTCACTTTCGCAACGAGATCGGCGGCGAGGGCGAGAGGAGGATCTCGCTCTCCAGAGCCAACAGTTCAAACTACAGCGGCCTATCAGAGAGCTGCTCTTTTGAATCCTCTTTAAGTTCCCACTGCACCAACGCAGGAGTATCTGTGCTGGAGGTACCGAGAGAAAACCAGCCCATCCACAGGGAGAAGGTCAAACGCTACATCATCGAGCACATCGACCTGGGAGCGTACTACTACCACAAGTTCTTCTATGGAAGAGGTAAGGAACAAAGAACTCTTTTTTTATTTAGAGAGACTGAAGAGAGATGATGAGGGCTGTGACGCAACACATGGAGTAACTTGTGTCTGTTTTTATTAAGTGTCAAAAAACATCCAACAAACACAGAAAGACTCGTTACATCTTTAAATAAAGGTTGATGAAATCGTCCATACTTTTTGACACCAGGTGTTTTAATACGGTGTCCTTTATTTTCATGGTCGATGGAATCAGAAAGAATAAAAAAAACTGCATCTATTTCATAGGACAGGTGCTTAGGAGAGGAAATGATCCATCACAGATGCCAGGCAATCAGCTTCAAACGGTCTAAAGTGCACAAATATGTTGGCAACGATTCAGTACTGAAACGTAAACAATGTATTTGTGTGCAGGTGATTGCTTGCAATTTTTTGACAACCCAATACGGCCCAGTTGCCGTGGTATCAAACAGGTAGCAATATAGTTTATCTCATCAAAATAAAAATTGTGAAAATGGAAATTTGATTGAAATAAGAAGAAGCAGCTACTCTTGTCATCCCTGCTTCCACAAATAACAGAAGTTTCCGTTTAATTTATTTTCATTCGATTAATCATGGCCGCTCTGGATGATTCCGGAGAATGATTTGACGCTGAGGACTTTCCAGGCCAAATGCATTTCCTTGAAACAACACTTCAAACAATGCTGCGTGAGAAGAAATTTCCAAATGGAACAGCCTCCTTTCATTGGCTCAGATATCTTGCAGCTTGCAGCCCAGTTATTTTTATAGGAGCAGATGAAATGGGGGCCAGAACAATAGCAGGCCTGTGTTGGGTGTGAGGGTGTACGTTTGACTTCCTCGGGAGAGGAGCGGTCATGTCCTCCCTGTGATATTGCTCTGAACCCTGTGGAGAGTCCGTGATTAGTCATGTGAGAAGAGAGAGGTGAGCAAGAGGGTGTGCTGCAGCTGTTCCCTGTGGGGGCCGCTGGGTGTGAGGACCCCTCCTATGAAACGTTGAGGTCAGCAGAACTATGCCGAGGTCCAGCGTCCCCTCATTAAAACACCTTAGTGATGCTGGAATTACAAGCTGACCCTGGACCATCAGAGCGTTACACATATCTGTTCTCTTCACTGTCTGAGCGTCTGTGTTTGCTGCTCTCAGCAGATTAAGTTTCCCATTCTTGAGCCTCCGCGGCAAACAGCTGCTTCACCTTTAACACAGAGAGAATCCTGACCTTCTCCAAAAAGATTCTCTGTATTATTATATTCCTTAACCCAGTTTCAGTGTCTCCAGTCAGGATTAGAGCTCTGGAGGCTTGGAGAAGGATTTTAAATGCTAGACTAGATTATCTCTTTTCTTGTGGGTTCACATTCTGCAGCATTTTGGACCAATCACAGAGTCTTATCAGAGCAGATTTTATATTTACAAAATGCAATAATCCAATCCAAAAGTAACAACATCATGGACTAGTTTATCTTGAAAAGACAGATAACTGTAAAAGACGAAAAGGTACAACTAATGCTGTGGGACTCCACTGAGCAGGAGAAGTTCGACGCCTCATCAAAGCCAACGATTTTGGCGCCCAGGCATGTGTACAAGCGTTCTCCACCACAGACAGGGATTTATTTCATGCCATTAACAGCTACAGGAAGAAGGTGAAGTTCATAAATCAGAGATATTCCTGCAGTTCTAGTGCAAAACAAAATGGACCTCATTGAAGATTCTGTTATAAAAAGACGAGGAGGCAGAAGGTTTGGCTATAAAGCAAAAGTTGGGATTTTATCTTCAACAAAAGACGATCTTAATGACAATAACGTTTTTAAGAACTTAGCTGAGAAGTTTCTTCAGCGACTCAAACATAAAAACGTAACAGAGGTGGTCCTTACAACAAGCGATTAAAAAACATACAATCGCTTTTGGACAGGATGTGCATACATCATGAGACGTCTCTGAGGTGTTTTGGGCAGAGCACAATAACTTGTGCTTGCCTGAGGCTTCAAGTATCTCTTCTCTTCAAAGATTTTATTTAGCTAAAGCAAAGCTATGATTTTAGTTAGCTAGTCAGTTTCTCTGGCTTCATTGAAAAGCAATAGCAATAAAACTTGACAGAGTTTTTCCTCATAATAATATCAAACGGAAGCATTCATTAGATGAAAAGATTTGGTCCAAGCACAGAACCTTGTGGAACTCCATGACTAACTTTGGTGTGCAGAGGAGACTCATCATAAAGAGTACAAACTCAGATCGATCTAACAAATAAGATTCACACCAGCCTCTGGGTTGGATCTGCACCGTAGTGGCCTATACTGTCTTGAGCACTACATACTTGTGTTCAGGTGCGTCTGCGTAGCTCTTCAATACTCTGCCTACAAGTGCTAGTTGGCTGTGTTGGCCACTGAAAGAGGTAGAGGACGAGGGATTTATTACGGCCTAGATTCAACACAGAAGTATAAATCCAGCTCACTGCCTCTGTAATAGGATGTGATGGGCTGTTGTGCCATTTGTCTAACAGTACAAGTTCAGAGAGAATTCTGTCCAAAACAAAGTAGGGACTCATACAGATGTGCTCTACTTCCACTGTCTAACTGTACCATTGAACTTAATCTGTGAATTATTTACAGTGAAGCGTCGCCTCACTCACTCCTCATTCCAAAATCTGGGCTAGTTGTATTATAAATTTAACCTCATTCTGTGCCAAAGCAGGCCGATGTATAATTGAAACGCCCCGTGCTGCTGTCACTATAGTTTTGTTGTTACAGCTTCTACAGGAGATGTAAATGGTAAATGGACTTGAGCTTATATAGCGGTTTTCTAGTCTTCGAACTACTCAAAGCGCTTTTATACCACATGTCACATCCTACAGTGATGGGTAGTGATGATCGCTATGTAGTATCATCCATCAGAAGTAACTAATGCCATTCATACACCGCCACAGAAGCAGAAGGAGCAATTTGGGGTTAAGTGTCTTGCCCAAGGACACATCAGACATGTTGCCCAGCTGGGGATCGAACCCTCGACCTTCCGGTTGAGAGGCGATGACTCTACCAACTGAGCCACAGTCACAAGATGTCATTTTCACAGCGTGTGGAAGTGTCCCTTTCCCCTTTTTTCTGAAGTGTTTCATCAGGGAGACAAATCTGTCATCACCTCCGCCTCGACCGCAAACACACACACGTACATAAATACAGACAAACCCACACTCACACAAACATGGCCGCGTGTCATCACTTCAGAGCAAGCTTTTATCAACCCGAGCTGAGCATTGATCCTATTGATCGCCCTGAGCTTTTTTTACCTTCAGCAACAGGAGTGCTTCTCCCCAGGCTGCTTTAATGGACACCATGTTTGTCCCACACCCACCTGCTGAACCTGTTACACACAGGTCAGGGTTACATACTGTACTGAGAAATACCATAAAGAGCGCTTTGGATCAGGGGACTTCAACCCTTTTATGATGTGAGGACCATAAAGCTGCCCAACATGTGACTCCCTGACCTTTAGAGACAGACGTTTTTGTAGAAGTGACAAATAAAAGTTCATGTTTGACGTCTTGATAAACTCTGCTTATAGAAGATTGTGCACAGTGAAGCTCACACATCCATGTGAATTTAAAATGAGAACCTTTAAGGGAGGATGGACTTATTCATTCAGCCAAGCTTACAAGTCAGAATAAAATATTAAGAACCTGTGTCTGAGAAATGTTTAGGTCTTATATCTTTACTTGTTCCCAATGAATAGGAAGAACAGGTCAGCATGTGGAAAGTGCGGCATCTTTTGGCACCAGATCGCCAGTTGAAGGCGGGATATTTATGCCCCTGTTTCCCCTTAGCAATGTAAAACCACACACTGAGACACAAACATTACGCCGGTGCAGATGAAATGTGTAAGAATAATGTCGTTCATGGTGGCAGAGCTTTATTCCGCTCTTTGGAGGAATCACAATCTCTAAAGGGCGCTGGATCTAAAGAACCTCCACCTTCTTTTTGAGGTCGCTGTGTGCCTTTAAGAACGTTTGAACTTTTACGTTTCTACTCCATCTCCATAACAAAGCCCCCTGTCACCACCCCTTTGTTTTTGTGTTTACTTTGCATCCCAAAAGAGCACTTTATATATATGGGGTTGTTTTAATTTCATGACATTTTTACTGGTATCGTACCAAAACAAAAAAGAAAAGAGCATAAAAAAACCTTGTTATATCACATCTTTGCAGCCCAGAAGGGAGCACTACACAGACTGGTCTGGGTCACAGATGGAGATATTTTGCCCTGAAATAAAAAGTCTGAGAGGCTAAAATGTAAAGAATTAGGGACAAACCGAGCGGGCCTTTGACGGCAGATCTGCAGTGTGGAGTGACAGGAGGACAGAGACGAGGCGCTGTTTGACGTGACAGTCACACTAATCCATTTAGGAAATCTTTTGGCAAAACAACAAACGATGAGCCCCAGTGACAAGATTTAGGAACAGGTTGCCCCAAAGCGTCCCTCCATACTCGACACTGTCTGTGCCTTCAGCGTTCAGATGCACAGCGGCCTCGTTCCAGCCCTCCTGCCACCATTTGACCTTCTGCCTCACGGAGCATCCCCCCTCAGTCCTCGCTCTCTGACAAGCCGAGCATTCCTCAGATGGTTAACCCCGCATCGCCTCCATACAGTTAATTTATTATTCATGCATATGTGAGCTTTGCCCCGATGTTAATGCCACTGTGACAAGAACTCAGCGTGGCATAGATGTAACGTCTAAACTTGTGCAGGAATCTCTTTGCAGTGTCAGTGCTTTGATTCCCTGCTGAGCATTTTCTTTGTCGTCTGGTAAATCCCGGTCCTTCTCCAAGGCTTTAGACTGGATTAAGGAGTGTTTGCTCAAGGCAACGCTTTTTGTGTGCAAAGCTCTGCCTCTGCTCATGACACACAAAAACACACAACACACTCCAACCTCAACCTTTAAAAGACAAACACAGTCTTTGTTTCCAGATCATAATCCAGACAGTGTTTTGACAGAGTATTAAGGAAGTTATGATGACATACTCTTTATGTCAGCAAGAAACGATTGCTGGTTCTAACAACACTCAAAGGTCCAATCAGTAAGATGTGGAGACAGTGAGATGATAAAGTGACCTTACTACATTAAGGAAACATGCTGTGTTGAAGTGCTGGCTTCTCTGACAACAATGCAGCAGCCAGTATGTCCTCCTTCTAACTTTAGATTCTGGTCCTGAATGTTCTGGATTTGTTTGGACCAGAGGAGGTAGGTTAGGTTCTTAAACAAACATGTTTTGTGTGTTTTTCTTCTGTTCCATTCAAAGACACCAACAATCCGAGCTCGTTCAGTGGGCTCATCCTGATGTTTTAAGACTCAGACCATGAAACCACTTCATCTCTTAGGTTTAAAGGTCACATATTCTGTAAAATCCACTTCCCCATGTTTCTCTCACTCTAATATGTGTCTCTAGTCTGTCTACAAACCCCCCAATGATGAGAAAAGTCCATCCTCTCCATCTTTTGCCTGCTCCACTTTTCAGAAAATGTGTGCTCAAACAGGCCGTTTGGAGATTTTCCCTTCATGACATCACAAAGGGCAGTAACCCCTCCCCCAGGTGGGTGACACTCCCACAGCTAGGTGTTTGTTCTGCCCCGAGTCTGCCTTCTCACTGTAAACAATAGGACATGGAGAGAGAAAGACAGAGACCACCCAAGCCCTTCCAGAGAGGGTCAGACACAGCTCATTTACATATTTAAAGGTACAGACACAGAAACAGCCTTTTCTGAGCAGGGCTGAAATAGAGGGGTTTATAGGCATGATCAAATACAGGATCATAATGGATTTAGAACAAGAAACTTCACAGACAAGTTTTGGGGAGCTCTGAGAATTATTCAAACTGGTTGAAGAGGAGGAATATGTGACCTTTAAATATATCAAGTACTCTTTCCATTCTCTACCCTGCACACTAAGTTATCACATGAAAGCAGAAAAGGAAGAATCAGTGTTTGCATAACAAATGTACTTATGCTTGTTGTGGTATTATAAATTAATCCCTTCAAAATAGAATAATCTAAAATGTTATTTATCTCTAATACTGCACAACAGCATGTGTTCATTTCCAAAATAATACTTTGTTTACTCGTGTTTTTTTCATAACAAAGGATGATGTCGTGCGAGTATCTGGGACAGCGTTGTCAGGTCGGTCGGGGTCAAAACTTTGAGGGCTGTTTTTTGATTTATTTACTTTTTAAATCCTCGTGCTGTCACTACAGAGCGGGTTATAATCCGAAGTGAATCAATTTCAAATCTGTACGGGTCACCAGCTGCTTTTATAAAATCATTGTAAGGACTCACCCGGTCCAAAGCACACAGAACTCCTTCATGAACACATAAATACAGGAAGCGGACTTTAAATATACATTCAGATTCTGGTTCAGCCAGAGCAATGATCTGGTAAAGATGTGAAAAATGTTTTTTATTCTTCTTCATTTTAGCTTTGACAGATTTCCTGACACTTCACTGAAGTTTATTAAAACTGAGGGACTTCATTTGACGCTTAACATGTTTTAAATCTGATCTTTCTCTCTTGCCGTACCTCCATCAGAGCATCAGAACTATTTCGGGTTCGACGACAATCTAGGACCGGTGGCGGTCAGCGTCCGCAGGGAGCGTCTGGACGACGGGAAGGAGAAAGAAGGGATGCAGTTCAACTACCGAGTCACCTTCAGAACCAGCCAGGTAAAAAAAAGTCTCCTGCTGTTTATCCTCACTCTTTACTCTGCTACAGAAAAGGTCTCTGTGTGGTAACATTTGTGAGTATCTTTGAATGCATCGTATTCCCAGAATCTGCACAACCCGAGTCCAGAGTCACAAAGGATAATAGACTATAATTATTGATCAAAGATTACAAAAATCACACAGATTTATTCATCAGATTTTGCATAAGAAATATTGAAATGTCAACAGAATACTTCTTATTTTGAACTCTGCACATTTATCGTCTTTTGAGATGTTCTTGTTTTTAAGAAGAGATCGTAAAGGTCTGTTGATTATTGTATCTGCTGTATATCGACCCAAAATGTTACATATCGGTCGGGCCTTAGTTTATACTTCTACAATCAATCCCCCAGTTGTTCCCACCATGCATTTCACCTCATATAACACACTGTAATGATGTCATCAATAAATGTAAAACCTGATGACACTAAAAGTCTAAATCTTTAGCTTTCAGCTGCAAAAATAGGAGGTCTTTTATCTGAGATTGATTGAAACAGGATCCTGTAAAAGCAACTCCCAGCAGGAGGTCTGTTTTCAGACCGTAGACGTGAAATATTGACCAAAGTCAGACATGCTTTTAAGAGATTGTTTGTCGTATTTTTCAACGTTACATTCAGCAGACAATTTAAAGTCCCTGAGCTCAGAGCCCAATCGACCCGTACAGCAGTGCAGGGATTCTTTCTGTTCCCCTGAAAACGAGAGGAAGCGTCTCAGCTCCTGTCCCTAAATCAGCTCCGAGCCGCCTGATGTGACCACGAGTCAGAGCCAGGTGTGACTCAGTTAGCCGATCATGCAGACAGTCATTCAGTCCATCAGAGTCGGTGTGATCGGCCATGCTGTTACAAACTCTCACCTAAACACACACACACACACACACACACACACACACACACACACACACACACACACACACACACACACACACACACACACACACACACCATGATGAGTCCACACACTGAGCTGCAGCCTCTTAGTCCCCGGTGGTACGAACTGGCTCCCTGATTGATGCTGGGTGGTCTCATCCTCTGAATAATTCAGGTGCAACAGATGTGTCAGGCAGGAGGATGTCACTGATATCCAGCGCCATTCTTGGTTTTAAGCAGCACTCCCACGATAAAACAATGTATCTGGGTCATGGCAGGCCTGCAAGTAGCACGCAGAAAGTGTTTTAACTCCCCGACCACTGGAGCGACTGTTTGCATGCACTCTCATCATTTAGCCTCTGACTCTCTGCCCCGCTCGCCCTCGCCCTCGCCCTCTCTCTTCCTCTGTTTAGTAATCTGCGTGAAAGTGTCTCTGATGTTTCAACAACAACAACTCAGGGTTACAGAGTGGCTGTGAGGAAGCTGTTTGGGTCGATTTTTACTGACACATTAATGATCTTAATAGTAAAACACCACTTAACGTGTAGTGCTCAGTTTGCCCGTCTTAATTATTTAAAGAGTGAACTCCTGATGCCTTCCAATGGAACTAATGGAGCCAACGCCTAATAACACAGAACAACGTGGAGAGATGTTTACACTGGAGCTCACAGCAGCTAGGATGGATGAAAGGATGGATGGATGGATGGATGATGGAGGGGTCCTCCATGGTCAGGGTGGAGGAGGTTAGATGGGTCCTCTGTTATTAGGGTGTAGGGAGTGAGAGGGGATCAGGGTAACTCTGTCATGGAGCGGTGTACAGTTCAGAGAGGTTTGGTTGGGATGAACTGCGTCCGGTGGTGAGGGTGTCGTACCAGGATGAGATTAAATCCTGAACTTAATCTTCAGCATATATATATATTTTAAAAGGTTTATTTTTAGACTTTTTATGCCTTTATTTTGGAGATGGGGCAGTGGATAGAAACAGAAATCATGAAGAGAGAGAGAGAGGTCGGATGTGAACCTTGGCCGTCTGCTTAGTGGACTTAAGCCTCCATAAATGGGGCGTGTTCAATTTTCCACACATTTTGACATCCAGGGGCTCAAGCAGAGAGCAGCCAATCAGATCTTAGGTAGAGTTACAAAGTTCTCCAAAAAGATGCAGATCATGACAGAAATTACTCCAAAACATACACTTTTAGAAGGATGTGAATCAAAGCAGTTCATGCAAAACTTAGAAAGGCAACATTTATAAAGATTTAAAATATTTTAAAGAGAAAATTAAAACATAAATTAAAGTCAAATCAGGAAAAGTATGTTTTAAAAAGGTTCATCAAATAAACCTGCAGAGAATTCAAATACAGACATAAAGGCGGTATCCACAAGACAAACACTAACTAAGCTACACTGGACTTAACATTCATCGTCTCTATTTCAGCTGACCACGCTGCGTGGAGCCATCCTCGAGGACGCCATTCCATCGACAGCGCGACACGGGACGGCGCGCGGCCTGCCGCTGAAAGAAGTACTGGAGTACGTGATCCCTGAGCTGAACATCCAGTGTCTGAGACTCGCCCTCAACTCCCCCAAAGTCCCCGAGCAGCTCCTGAAGCTGGACGAGCAGGGGGTGAGTACAGCCAGACGTCCGCCATGTTTTAATTGATTAAGCAGAAATGGACTAACGTGATGTTAAGGGCCTCAATTAGGTCCATGTGTTAACAGGGTTTTCTATATGAAAGGTCCTGCTAGTTTGTTTTTGCACAGAAGCTTCTGCACATATTTTTCTGTGAGGTTAGCAGGAAACCAGCAGAGACTGCAGAATATGCTGCTGCTCCTTTTCCACAAACGATGCATTATAAGCCCTTTAACAACTCAAATATTTAAGTCTTTACTCTTTGTTTCTTTGTAGAGAGAGCATGAATTTAAGTGCTGGGGGGTAGATTGTGTAACCTTTTGGCTCATCCTCGCTACCTGTTCCCCCGTTTCCATTCGCTAAACTAGGCTAAGCTCAACTATGCTAAGCTAAAATGAAAGTGATTAAGAAAATAATCAAATATTGATAATACCGTATCATTTTAAATTTAGACCCTTAATGCAAAGATTTTATAGATGATGGGAAACATGAATTCCATTTACTCTGATTGCACATAAAACTAGTGCCATGGGGGCGCTGCTGGCCTAGCAGTTAGGTTGCTTCACATATACGGAGGCAATGGTCCTCGGGCGGTCCAGGTTCAAGTCCGACCGGTGTCCCTTTTCCCGCAGTTCATTCCCCACTCTCTCTCCTGGTTTCCTACTCAATCCACCGTCCTATATAAAGAGGCAAAAAGCCCAATATGAAATCTTTAAAACTAGCGCCATGATGTTGAATGTTTCAAGGACTCTGATTAAAACAAGTTCACTTTTCCTACTCAGATTTTATGCATCTGCTAGTGTGTTTTTCAAAATCAGTTTCCCTTAAATGATCTAAACTTGGGGTGCAGGTAGCCTAGTGGTTAGTGTGTGCACCCCACGTACAGAGGCTGTAGTCCTCCAAGCGGGCGGTTCGAATCTGACCCGTGGCTCTTTTCCTGCATGTCATTCTCCTCTCTCTCTCCTTGATTTCTGACTCTACCTACTGTCCTATCTCTAAAATAAAGGCATAAAAAGATTATATAAATATAATCTTGGGGTGCTGGTGGTGCAGTCCACCCCATGTATGGAGGATGTAGTCCTTCCCTACTCTGTGTCTCCCTGATTTCCGACTCTATCCACTGTCCTATCTCTCAGATAAAGGCCAAAAAAGCCCAAAATAAATCTTATAAAAAAATATAATCTTTACCCCTCTATTTCGATGGGTATCAAATATCCAAATTCATGTTACCACACAGCCGTGTAACCACCTGACTGCTGGCTGAAGCATCATATTTAAAAAGCAGACGTGACTGTTGTCTTTGGTCTCTCTCTCTCTCTCTGCAGCATATTTCCCTAAATCTCAAACTGTTCTTTGAAGACCGCAAAGCCACTGCACACACGTGCTGTTAAAGGGATTATGAATAATATTTTAAAATTAGAAAAAGATGAATTGAACCATCTCCGTTTCCGACGTTTACATCAGCTCTAGGAGGAAACGGAGAGGCGGTAATCCAGTTAGAATAGCAGGAAGCTTTGTTCCATTTAAATGATCTTCTTGTAGATGAACACAGATCCCCCCGGTGGAAACAGAAGACCGACGATATGACACTGAAATGAAATCAATATGAATCCCACGCTCTCTGCAGCCGGCATCGACTGCTCCGACACACGGAAGAGAAAGTAACTCGCCCTCTGACAACTCACTCGTGTGAGAGCAGGTGGTTTAGTATTCTTCCTGCACGGCGCCGGGTGTCATCTCACATTACCTCCGTTTGAATCCAATGGTTATTAGATATGTGAGCTCTGTATCACAGGTGTCAGAGACGCACTCATTGTGTGATCTTTAAGGCCTTTATTTTCTCTTCTAATAAAACTGCGAGATGGAGAGCGGCGTGGGAGGATTAGCCGCTCTTCTTATCGTGCTATCAGAGAATTGGCGGCTTATTAGTGTAATTACATTCATTAGTGAGAGACCATCCCTCGCTCTGACAGGAGAAAGGCTCTTATAATAGAAAGTGTCAACCATGTCCCTCTTGTAGAGGACTGAGTTGCGAACACAAGCAGGAGCAGTGCAGCGTCCTCTTGAAAGAGAGTTAATGCACTTAGGATGATGGCAGACGTTTGGCTGTCCAATTAGCTCAAAGTAACTTTCTATGTCGGAGCTAAAGGAAGCTTTTCTGCCAGATCTCAAAGAGAGTTTGTCCACCTGCCAGATCACTCCCCATGCCTTTGGTATGAGCGAGCGTCTGCGGATACAGGCTTTGTTTTAAGACCAAAAATGACACAAGGGGGTAAAAAAAGCAACAATATAATCCAAGAAAGTGCTTTGAGAGCAGGCGGGCTGCAGCTAAGTGGGTCTACAACTCCTCCAACTGGCTCTCCTCCTCCTCAAACCTCAAACCAATCGGCCACATTTATATTTGGACCTCAGTATTTTGGTGCCCTCCTGTTTTAATCATTAATGTTATGCTTGCTGCGCACATGTTTAATGGGTCAAGCACCCCGTAATCTTTTCAACCGAGCTGGAGTTTCACCACCCCTCTAATGTGTTTATGTGAGGAAGGATATTATTGGACAGTAAAACATAATAACAAAGGCTCTGCCAGACCTCTTCCTGTTACTGTAAGAGCTGCGTTTTCTTCTCCTGCCTGCAGGGAGCTTTGTTTAAGGACTCTTTGGTGCATATACACACTGATGAGAAGATGTTAAGTCCTCTGTTGACATGCAAGAGTGTGTTTATCCTTCCTTTTGCACGCCTGGTTAGAGAGAATATTGTGGGGCAAGACGGCCCTGGTAACATCTTCAGGTTCAGTTCTGGAGACAGAAAGCAGTTTGGACTGTGCTGTAATGTTCCTGAGAGATCAGAACACATGTGAATGTAGTTTAGACCCTGTGCACACGGAGACTGGGGAAAGCATTAGGGAGCTAGTCAGATTTCTGAGATGTGATGTCGGATAAAAACATCACAGATTGTACGACATCGATGGTTTCTCTAAGAAAGCAGATGTCTTTCTGTTGTTTCTATCTAAAGAAGAAAATCTGAGCATCACAGTTTAATCATAAGAGTTTATCGGAAGCTTCTGTTTTAGCATTAAAGACGTTTGATCTTTAATACAATCTGATGATTAAATCTGTGATCTGAGCGAGATAAAGCACGACTGCATTTACACTTTGTGAAGTCTGATGATAGGAAAGACAATATTTTAAAGGTCAGAGGAAGACGACTAATCATCACCCCTAAAAGAAGCTGAAAACATTTCCTTCTTCCTAACCCATAAAGTGTTTTTCTGCTGTTTCTCTGTATCACAATGTGAACAAAGAATAAATGCATGCCACTCCCTAATTTCTACAATGCCATTGAGTTTTGCAGCGGTCCCCAAAAGTAAGCGAGTGAAACCTTTAGCAGGACCATAAATCAGTGCTGATGCCCACTTCAACAGCCCAACCTCAAGGTGTAATTCAGGCTGCAGGAAGGTTCGGTGCACAGATTCAATAGAGTAATCTACCACCTGCTGAGGCACAAAGCACCTCTCACATATGTAAATCAGACATGAAATTAAATTTTGGAAAATTTTAATGTACTCAGAATTTTTGACCCTACATTGTCCTTCACATCTACCTTGTTACCTTTTATCGCTATCATTGCTGAGGAAACATGGCTGCAAAATGAACTGCATTCTCTTGTCAACGTGATATGAAAAGGTGCAACAAACAGTTTGCAAAAAAAGGGCTTAAAGGTGACATATTCTCCTCCTCTTCAACCAGTGTAAATAAGTCTCAGCGCTCCCCAAAGCATGTGTGTGAAGTTTCTTGTTCTAAATCCACTCTGATCCTGTATTTGATCATGTCTATAAACCCCTCTATTTCAGCCCTGCTCAGAACAGGCTGTTTCTGTGTCTGTACCTTTAAATATGTAAATTAGCTGTGTCTGGCCACGCCCCTCTCTAAAAGGGATTGGGTGTCTCGGGCTTTCTCGCTCCATGTCCTATTGTTTACGGTGAGAAGGCAGACTCAGAGGACAGAACAAACACCTAGCTGTGGGAGTGTCACCCACCTGGGGGAGGGGTTACTGCCCTTTGTGATGTCATGAAGGGAAAATCTCCAAACAGCCTGTTTGAGCACACATTTTCAGAAAAGTGGAGCAGGCAGAAGACGGAGAGGATGGACTTTTCTCATCGTGTAGACAGACGAGGGACACATATTAGTGTCAGAGAAACTTTGAGAAGGGGATTTTGTGTAATATGTGACCTTTAAATCAGTGACAAATAAAAAACGTCAGAACAGAACATCCAACTCAACATATGTTTCTTAAATCTTTTACCACAAGTGCTGTTATTACTGAAAATACAATTGAACCCACACGTTACAGCTCCTGGCTGGCTCGCCAATTATTGTGTACGAGTTGGATTAATGCTAATTGGAGTAAAAGTTGTTTCAATCAACCAGAAGTGAGCAGGAGAGCATGAGATTTTATGTCGGCTTAAAACCCAAATGATAGACTTTTTTCATTAACTTTTTATTAGTTAGAAGTTTAAGAGTTAGACTCTGAGGAAGGTCCGACTGCAAGAAGCGGAACATTTAATCCAATATTTTTGTGAGCTTTCCATCAAAGTCACAGTTTACCCAAAACTATCTGATAGGATCCACTGCACTGCCGATCTGTTAAAGGTCACAAAACATAATCCAGCACCATTTTAGTAATCAGATGAAGCCAGAGCCAGCCGTCAACTAAAATCAGATTATATGATGATGTCAGTTTGACGGAGACGGCAAGGTTAGCGAGCACAATGGTGGAGGACGGAGAGGAGGCGGGGCCAAATCTGATGACTTTGACTTTGTTGTGAAGAAAAACACTTCTGATGTTTGCCCTAATTTTGAGTTCAGTAGCGAGGCTGTGTTACAAACAGGGGTGCATGCAAACACAGGGGATTTACGTTTAGAAGATTCGAACACTTCATTATGTTTCTATTTAATGTGCATCATCTTGTTATTGCATCGAATTTTGTTATTGCCTCAGTGGAATCCAAAAAATGCTGTAGATGTTTGCATAACTGTCCCTGATGACTGGCGTCAAGTTCTAGGAGGTTTTTGCTGCAGTGCAGACAGATGTCACAGTGTGCGTGCGTGCGTGCGTGCGTGTGTGTGGGTGTGTGTGGTGTTAGGACATTGCTGTATCCCTCAGGTGCGTCTCTAAGCTCTCGAAGGGGAACACTGTCCTCATTTCTCTTTCCCCTCATTAAAATTATTTCCATCTTTGCACTTTTAAGAATTTTCTTTTCTTAAAAAGAGGTAAAGGACGGGAAGTGTTCAGCACCCTGCAGCAGATCGCACGACGGGAGGGAGAGAAAAATTAAACATTGAGAGAAAAATTAAACTGCATTTTAGCAATTAGTGCTCAGATTTTAAGCAAGCAAGTTGTTTAAGCTAATAACCTGCGTTAAATTGGATAAGCTTTCCTTCTGGCTGCTTTACCTTCACAGACGCTGATGCCACAAAAATACATCAAAGGCAGTTACACAACAGGCTTTACCTCAGGAGTATTACTCATCTCTGTATGTGTGTCATGTGTCCCGGTGTGTGTGCACTTCTCACGCAGACAAATTCGCACCAAAGGGCAGCACGATTGTCCTTGCCGTCGGGTAGTCAGTTAAGCGGAGCATGAGGTTAAGTGAGCTCGTATAACGCAAGATAGTGGGAAAAAGAAAAAAAACAGGAGACTGAATCATTGCACATCAGGCCATCTCCACTGGGCTTTAACATAAAATCGCTTCCTGTCTCTGCAGGAGATTTAGCGCAGAGCACAGCGCCTAACGGAGGAGGTCATCATGGCAACAGTTGGAGACTGATAACCTGTGATTGAGGAAAAAGACAATCTCACACTTTCAGGCTGTGGATAATTTGATAGCGTCACATTCATGGAAACCTTTTTGTCTCGGCGTATTGACACATTCATCCCGGGTTAAGACCCTGCTGCCCTCAGCTGTGAATCCTGGGTAACAGGTGCCAAACTCAGGAGGCCATGTTTTTTTCCTCCAATTTTTTCCGCTTTGACTCTTTTTTTCTCCGCCCGTTTCCGTGAGCTGAAAGCCATAAATAATTCATGTCAGAGGAGAGGCCACTCACTGTCAGCGTGGAAGAAGAATCACTCTGGATGTTTGATTCCTTCCTGTCTCTCCGTGAGACGAGTTCATATCACACCTGTCCATTCTGGGTCAGAGAAATAATAATAATACATTTTTGTGGTGTGATTGAACCCCTCTGAGATTTAGCTATTTGAGGAGAAGACATTTAACTTCATCTTTGTTTTGTTTTTGATCAAATGTTTTTGTATTTAAGGGACGATGATGAATAAACGCTCTGAAGAATAAAACTCTCGGCCGCTTCACAAACAGAGGTCGATGCTCTCAGAGAAGGATCTTATACGTTCAGAATAAAGACAGAGTCCAAAGAAAGAACTGGAGCACAAGAATCCCTTAAGGCAAATTAATTCATGTGCAAAGGATCAACATTTCAACGCACTGTGCCTCCCTCAGATTAAAACAGTACAGGTTAAATACCCTTCCTACTCACAGCGAGACATCACTCATTGGTTAATGAAAGTGGGAGGTAAGCAGGGAAAAACAAAATACACACTTTGAGGAAATAAAAAGGAGACACTCTATTAAATGATAAAAAATAAAATCTTTGTCCTGAGAAATTTTCACATCTATCATTGCACGAGATCATATTTAAAACATCTATTGTTGCATATAAGACATTTTTTGCACATGTATGATAGAGCTCAACACTGAGGTTCCACAAGTTAAAATCACTGTTCATTTTCTACATAGCCGATTGGATTATTCGCCATGATGTCATAACCATCCCAGGTAAACTGACCACGAGCTACCTGAGTGTGGAGCGATGGTTAACGCTCCTGTAGGAGACAAAAGTTCATCTGATATCAACCTTGTTTAAAGAACAACACGGTTTATTCACTATAATGGGGAAAAGAACTACTCTACCCACGATCATAGAGTGTCACAGAAGCCTCTCTTATTGGTGGAGCTCGCTGTTACCATAGCAATGTAGCCCACTCCTTTGAGCCGTATGCAAATGAATAGTTCTGCTAAAGCAGGCTAGCTAGTTAGTTAGCTAACACGATGTTAGCAGCAGTGAAAGTAGTTTATATATTCTACAACAAAGTACAACACTTGTAAGAAGAAGAGCTATCATTTGCAAGGGATTGTGGGATATGTAGTGCCTTGGCTGCCAGGACAAAAATAATGCACACTGTCCTGTACCTTTGACTTTTTCTCCGTTTCTTTAACGCTGTTTTGGCGCAGAATCAAATGCACTGTCATCACGGGTATTGGGTTAGCTGGTTGTCATGGTTACATGCTTCAATCTCTTCATATAATTCCTATATATTTTGTGAAATGTCAACAGAGGATTTGAACCGGGGAAATGTATTTCCAGAACCAGAGCCGCCAATTAAGTGTGCGGTCTCTGTTGAGCTCGAATGCATACAAGAGGTTTTTTGTACATGTGTTATTGCACTGTGAGTAAGTCATGATGTGATATTATTGCTCACTTTGAGCTCCATAAATAAACGTTGTTTGTGGAGTAATGAGTGCATTCAGAGAGTTATTAGAGGGCTGTCGGGGGGGATCAGCGTTGTTTCCTTTCAGTGCCTCTTACGAATCTTTCTCCTCTCGAGGGAAGACTTATCCAAACAAAATATTGCTTATGGATGTTTTATTTTTTTTAAACAGGATTAAAATGCTTTTGCTGGAAGTTTATAGTTTTCCGCCTTAATCCAAACTATCTCTCAGTAAGTTTGTAATTCACTCCCTGGTCGCTCCCCAGCCGCTCTTAAGTAGCGGCTATTAGCTCGCTTTGATTTATACTCCTCTCAGAGTTCACAGCCCGGCTTCAGTGAAGGGGATTTCAGCTCTTTACTCCAAGGGTTCTGAAAGTCTTCACATTAGCTGTGACATGATGGAAAGCGGGCTCTCTCACATTCTGAGTGAATAATGTACACGATGAGTGCTGTGAGAGGACGTGATACTCACTGTGTGTGTGTGTGTGTGTGTGTGTGTGTGTGTGTGTGTGTGTGTGTGTGTGTGTGTGTGTGTTTGTGTTTCCCATCCAGCTGAGCTTCCAGCACAAGGTGGGGGTGCTTTACTGCAAGGCGGGGCAGAGCACGGAGGAGGAGATGTACAACAACGAGAGCGCCGGTCCGGCTCTTGAGGAGTTCTTGGATCTGCTCGGCCAGAGGGTGCGGCTCAAAGGCTTCACAAAGTACAGAGCTCAGCTGGATAACAAGAGTAAGATAAAACACACTTTCAACAGAGCGCAGCCCACACACTCCCAATGCTGCTGAGTGCAGATGTTCTCCTGTTCTTCATTTTTTATAAAGTCTATATCCTGTTTATTCAGTTACATCACCAGCATACTGCTAGTCTGCACTGAAGCTTCATCTATTCCCTTTTTATTTGATCTTCCGCCTCTATCTCTCCTTTCTTTGTGTTTTAAAGGTTCAATCAGTAAGATGTGTAGTGAGTGAGATGATAAAGTGACCTTACTATATGATCAGACATTAAGGAAACATGCTATGTTGAAGTGCTGGCTTCTCTGACAACAATGCAGCAGCCAGTATGTCCTCCTTCTAACTTTAGATTCTGCTCCTGAATGCTCTGGATTTGTTTGGACCAGAGAAGGGAAGGCAGTTTTAAGGCACCCCCACACGGCCGTTTTGGTCGTATGAATGTTGTGCACGTTAAGATGAGGCGTCTCGACTTTCCATGTAAACACAATAAGAAACGACTTACATACACAGAAGATGTAAAAATATGTGAACCTGTTGCTAACATGCCCGGCCTGCAGAATAAATAAATCTGAGTTCTGAGATCATAACCTTTCTGTCCTGTGTTACAGCCGACTCCACGGGCACTCACTCCCTCTACACCACCTACAAGGACTACGAGCTGATGTTTCACGTGTCCACCATGCTCCCCCACACGCCCAACAACAGACAGCAGGTCAGTGAACACATCGTTTCCCCCCTCTCTCCTCCGGCAGACCTCCATGTTTGTTTTTCTGTGTGTGTGGTGATGGCGGTCCTCGAGCAGCTTCCCTTTAAGGATATCTTCAATCCCTCAATCTCGCTCTCTTTCCCGTCTCCCTCTGAGGCTCATTTTGCCACAGTAATGACCTATCAGTTGAAAGCATGAGTGTTGCCATGGTAACTGTACCCCATAGTAGGGTTTTTTAATCAATGCATCCCCAGGGGCTGGAACCTGTCGCGGTTTGAGACGGGGCCTCTGTGTCTGTCTGCGCTAACAAGTGGAATTAAGTGGATGTAGCTGTGGAGCGGCGGCCCCCATAAAGCTGCGATGGCTGAATGTATGGGCGTATTTTTAGAGCCCATAATAAAAACCTGCGGGTTCGACTCTGCAGAGAATTTAATGGTGAAGATACCAAGTAATGTGGCACGGATGGAGAGTGCGGAGATATGCGATCCGTCAGCATGTCAAACGTCTCATTGGCGGGATGTGAATGTTTTTCTTCTTCTTTCCTTCCCTGCTCCTCCTGTTGGATTTCATGGAGTGGAATAGTTTAATTTAATCCCCGCTGCTAATCTTCCAGCTCTCATCCTTTCATCCTTTTCAATTCACCTCTGTCCCCTCTAATCCCGGTTGTTTCGGGCTCTTTCTGACCCTCTCTGACGACTTCATACAGGCCACAGATCGAGGTTAACCGCCTGCTCGACACAACAATGCAGGCAGGATGAATTAGGTTTGGAGGGAAAATGTCTGCTCCAGCAAAAAAACTGTGTCGCCTCCTTCATTCAAAAAGATATTTATCTCAATTTAAACGTCTGATTTTCGACATTTCCACATTTTCCAGTTTGACATCCTGAAAATTTAAGGGCCCGTATTATTTAAAATCCACTTCACTGTGTTTCTCTAACTCTAATATGTGTCTCTAGTCTGTCTACAAACCCCCCAATGATGAGAAAAGTCCATCCTCTCCTTCTTTGGCCTGCTCCACTTTTCAGAAAATGTGTGCTCAAACAGGCCGTTTGGAGATTTTCCCTTCATGACATCACAAAGGGCAGTAACCCCCTCCCCCAGGTGGGTGACACTCCCACAGCTAGGTTTTTGTTCTGACCCTCTGAATCTGCCTTCTCACCGTAAGAAATAGGATATGGAGCGAGAAAGCCCGAGACACCCAAGCCCTTCCAGAGAGGGGGCGTGGTCAGACACAGCTCATTTACATATTTAAAGGTACAGACACAGAAACAGCCTGTTCTGAGCAGGGCTGAAATAGAGGGGTTTATAGGCATACCTTTCCACACCATGATGCCATCAGATGCTGCGTAAATGGAGCAGTCATCTGCTAAAACACAGCGATATATTTTTCGTCTTTATAACCTTTAATATTTCAATGGCAGAAGTGAGCTGATCTTATCTGAAAGAAAGAATGCAGGGTTTTAAATCTTTGCACTCTCGACCTAACACATACCATTCACCTCCTCCACACGACCCTCCTCTTCTTGTCTTTGACTCTTTTTCTTTCTACCTTCTTTTGCAGTTACTAAGGAAGCGGCACATCGGGAATGATATCGTCACCATCGTGTTCCAGGAGCCTGGGGCCCTTCCCTTCACTCCCAAACACATCCGCTCTCATTTCCAACATGTGTTTGTCATCGTCAAAGTCCACAACCCGTGCACTGATAACGTCTGCTACAGGTAAGGAGATTACTGCAGGCTGCAGAGCTCTCGCTCTCTCTCTCCTTCTGTCTCTGCCCCTCTCTCTCTCCTTCTCTCTCTCTCTCTCTCTCTCGCTCTCAGATATTTCACTCCTTACCTCTGGACTTGATGCAGAATAATATCCCTTCAGACGATTTATGGGAACGTGCTTATCTATGGATGTGCTCTGCATAAATCTTTTCTTGCCAAATGGCTCTCCATGAACTTTTAAGGGCACTTCATTTAAAAGAATAATAATAATAGGCTGCTGAGAGCTGCCTGTGGTTCGTTTGATCTGCTAGGTGATGATACAGTTATTATCTTCAGAGACACTTTGAAATTATAACTTACGACTCTCTCTGCGACGGATAGTGAAGTCAAGACGGCTCATTTTAATAACAGAGCATGTGTTGAACAGAGAGAGATTAGTCTGAGCTGCTGTTCAACACAAATGAACACTGAAATAGTTTCTCATTAAAGTCACACTTTCATATTCTTATGTTTCTCTGAGCGGCTCCCACTTCATGTTATTAATATTTCCTTCCTGTGTCTCCAGCGTGTCCGTGTCCAGGTCTAAAGACGTGCCTCCGTTCGGCCCTCCCATTCCCAAGTCTGTAACGTTCCCAAAGTCGGCCGTTTTCAGGGACTTCCTGCTCGCCAAGGTCATCAACGGCGAAAACGCAGCGCACAAGTCTGAGAAGTTCCGGGCGATGGCGACTCGGACGCGGCAGGAGTACCTGAAGGACCTGGCCGAGAACTTTGTGAGCACGACGACGATAGACAACGCCGTCAAGTTCAGCTTCATCACGCTGGGCGCCAAGAAGAAGGAGAAGGTGAAGCCAAGGAAGGACGCACATCTGCTCAGCGTGGGAGCCGTCACCTGGAGCGTGCGGGCGCGGGACTTCGGCCAGTCGGCGGACGTGGACTGTTTGCTCGGCATATCTAACGAGTTCATCGTGCTGATCGAGGAGGAGTCTAAAAACGTGGTGTTCAACTGCTCCTGTCGGGACGTCATCGGGTGGACCTCGGGGATTATGAGCATTAAGATCTTCTACGAGCGCGGGGAGTGTGTCATGCTGTGTGCTCACGACAACTGTGGGGAGGACATCCGGGAGATGGTGCAGAGACTGGAGGTAAGATTCATTAAAGTCTGAGCTGTAATAATCTCTGTCATCTCACATGTCTTAATGAAAGCCGGACAAGACCGCACAGAGGTCCAGATGATCCCCTATAGGTCAGGTCGTCAGTATGAGAACTAAATCATTCTGCAAGAAGATTTCAGAGAACAATGATGATGATCAGCTTTTAAAACATTCCATCCACAAATTCATTAGGGGGCCTCCAAACAGCGTTTATCACCACCAGTGTTCCTACGCTTACTCCTCTTCATTTTCTTTCTTTCTTTGGTCTTTAGTTTTCAAAACAGCAATGCATGCTGTGCCTTTGCAGGGCAACAAGGATATGTGTTGTCAGAAGGGGCCCCCTTAGGGTGTTTCCTACTGTCATTGGAACATTTTTCACATATTAAGCCGCTGCTGTGGTGCAAAGTTTGTTGGCCCTCAAGGCCCCCCCTACTGGCCTGGGGCCCCGAGCAGTTGCCTGCCTTGCCTGTTGACAAGCAGCGCCTCTGCATCCACCCCACAGAACACAGCACGTTTAGATACTGACATACCTTTTCTGTACCCCACACACACACACACACACACACACACACACACACACACACATCTTTAGTTACAGTTTCTGCAGATAATCACAGAATCTGTATGGTACATGGTGTTAAGTGTTGGACATGATCTGGTTTCCGTTTGTAATTGTTGTCCAGAGTTTGTCTGCACGCTGTTTGTGTGGAGAACAAAACAGGCAGAATGTAATCCACAGTCATTCTGGATCTCATTGGTTATTATCGTAAACCTTTGTAGCTCTTAGTCATCTCTGTGAGCAGACAAAGTTGAGTTAACAGACGTCATCTCTCTACTCTAACTCCATTCTCACTTTCTCAAGTTGCTCTTCAGACTGAAACAAAGCCGACGACTGGAGAAGGAAGTCTCGGCCAGAAATCATTAAATGCTAAAGCTAAAAGAAACGATAGCTGATTAGTGTGTTCAATGATTCAGAGCCGTGAAAACAACATTTTAAGACAGTTACTTTATTTAATTATGATCTGAATCTTAAAACTTATAAAAGATTAACAAATTGCATCCTCATTAATGAGTCTGCTTCATAAAACACATGAAAACACAGGTGGTAAGAGCTTCAGGCTGCTCGTCATAATTAGGTTTTTACGGCGAGCTTGCAGCCATTTGTCCTCGTTACAAAAGATTGCAGCTTCCTTCTCTGTCCTCGTTGTATCCAGGGCAGAAACAGTGTTTATTCAAACATGTTGATCATGTCTCTTTATTCCAGACACCAGATTAAGTTTTTACTGCAGGTGTTCAGAGCTCAAGTGCTTCGTTTGGCCATCCCACAAAAGATAGTTTTTGGGCCAGTTTTGCCTTTATTAGAAGGACAACTGAAGAGAGAGAGTGGGAGGAGAGGGTGGGGAGATGACGTGCAGCAAAGAGCCGGGGTCAGATTCAAACCCACGGCTGCTGCGACAAGGACTATATCTTCTGCACGTTGGTGTGTATTTTAAAGAAAATCCAGACTGTTTCTCTTATGCATGGTCAGTTCATCTTCACCATTTCGGTCCCTCTTTCAGCCTCGGTCGCTCATTTCGCCATGGTCACTCTTCCAGATGTGGTGACTCTTTTAGCCTTAGTCACTCTTTTAGCTTTGATCTCTCTTTTAGCTTTGGTCACTCTTTCAGATTTGGTCGCTCTTTTAGCCTTGGTCGCTCTTTAAGCGTTGGTCGCTCTTTTAGCATTGGTCACTCTTTACGCATTGGTCGCTCTTTTAGCATTGGACGCTCTTTAAACATTGGTCGCTCTTTAAGCGTTGGTCGCTCTTTACGCATTGGTCGCTCTTTACGCATTGGTTGCTCTTTTAGCATTGGACGCTCTTTAAACATTGGTCGCTCTTTAAGCCTTGGTCGCTCTTTTTAAACCTTGGCCGCTCTTTCAGCTTTGGATGCTCTTTTAAATGATGCTCCTCTCTTTGTCGTACATATCAGAGATGTCACAGTGGTAAGCTCGATGAGCTCGTCTCTTCTCTGTCCAACAGACGTAGTGTTAGTTGGGAGAAACGTATTTTAAAGAAAATCCAGACTGTTTCTCTTATGCATGGTCAGTTCATTTTCACCATTTCGGTCCCTCTTTAAGCATTGGTCGCTCTTTAAGCCTTGGTCGCTCTTTTAGCATTGGTCGCTTTTTAAGCATTGGTCGCTCTTTAAGCATTGGTCGCTCTTTAAGCCTTGGTCGCTCTTTTAGCCTTGGCCACTCTTTCAGCTTTGGTTGCTCTTTTAAATGATGCTCCTCTCTTTGTCGTACATATCAGAGATGTCACAGTGGTTAGCTCGATGAGCTCGTCTCGTCTCTGTCCAACAGACGTAGTGTTAGTTGGGAGAAACGTTGGGTGGATCCTGGTTCATGCTTTTAGTCCTGCTGGGCCACCATAGAGACCCCTGTGTCATTAACTTTTTATTAGCTTAACAGTTTGAGTTTTATTGTTCTTTACTAAATCCAGCCAACAAACTAAACTGTAAGTAACACCAGTAAAACATGGTGTGTGATCTATCCTCAGAATCACTCAGTAAATCTCTTCTGACTGTTTTCACACGCAGCTGCACGCCATGGGAAGAAAATGGCGGCTTTGACTTTAAATGGAGCAGGGAGGTATTTGACTTTGGGATATTTGTGGTCTCTCTGCGGTGGAACAATGCATTCTGAAAATATTGCCCTTACCATCGCAGCTTTACTTCTGACCACAAGCCGTGTTATTTGATTTCACCATTATTTCAGCAGAACCGATGCTTTCCTTACTTATATCCATCCTGTCAAGTCTGATGTGTCGCAACTCGACTCACAACTCCACAGTTTATTTTATTTTGCTCCTTGCAGAATATTTCCCCGTCCCGTCTGGGTTGTTCAGGGACAGGAGCGTCACTTCAATGTGAAACTGTGAAGTCCACAGAGTCCAGAGAGGATTACAGACCTCCTGCTTTCTTTGGATCATCACTCAGAATCAGATGAGCTTTACGGCCAAACGTCTGAGTCACACGAGTACAGATGTTTTTCCAGCTCAGGGTAAACTATTATCAAACATCGTAGTGTTTTCATTCAAAAATAACAAAACCTCCTCCTGCAGCTGACACATTGTTTAACGCAGGGAAAAGCTGTGTTTCCCCTGCAGGAACCTTCCCCTGAGACCAGGGGCTTTTGGAGGAACTTGAGGGGTTTCCAATGCGGGGGCCAGGCTCAGAATGAAGTCTAACAGGCTTTATTTAACCCCCAAAAGATTTGTGCACGGGGGAAATGGATGTTTTTGAAAGTGCAGGGACTTTGACCGTGGCCCTTGGTCGACAAACATTTCTGATTAGCCGAGCATTTGTAGTTTTTGGAAGATTTGCGGAGCAGAAAGTACACAGAATAACTTTAAGTCTCAGCGATGGCCGATTTTTTTTTTTTTTTTTTTTTTTTTTTAGTCGATAAAAGATTGCAACGATGCTCTGAAAACGGGGTTGTCATGTCAGTCGTTCCACATTCAGAAGACAACATCTTGAGAATCCCCCCCTCCCTGTCTGCTTTAAAGGACCTTCAGGTCCTAAAAATATGCTTCTGGGACTTTTGGTGGAAATGGGGCTTGTAGATTAACGATAATGTGATCTGAAGTGTTCTTAATGTTTCAGATATCTGGGTGCAGGTAGGAGGGGGAGGGGGAGGGGGAGGAGGCCTCTTAAACAGAACAGTAACCCAGTTTTAAAGGCGAGGAGAGGAAACAGAGACTTTTTTGGGGGCAGACAGACTAAGAATAGAGGACACAGAGCTCAGCCACTCAGCCCAAGTTCTCCTCTTATCCCCGTTTTCTAGTCCTGCTTTTTCCATCTATACGACTCCTTTGGCTTCAGATGTATCGTGGGTTTTTTGTGGTCAGGTGGCTCTGAGAAAATAGATGAAAACACCTGGTTCCTCCTCCGCCCGGGAGCTGGCATCCCGTGCCTTTTCTTTCCGCTGCTTGTGTTCCTGTATAAGCTCGCTGTTCCTCTCGAGTTTCCACGGTTTGTTTACTGAACCTCTAATCAGGCAGCTCTTTGTTTCCATCAAACAGAGAGAGTTTGATTCCTGAAATCCAAGCCTGAGCTGTGCATGGCCTTATTTCTGCTTCCATGGTTTACTTCTAACAGTCTTCAGTTCTCCCAAAGAGAAACAAGCCGGGATATGATCTGTGTTAGCATCCATTCTGTGATCAAAACACGAGCAAACTGCATCATTTTGAGGAGTTTAGGCTGAGATTCTTGCACGCTTACAGGCGATTTCCCCCCAAAGAGCCCAGAAAGTAGTCAGAAAGTAAATGTGCACCTCTGAAGTCTTGAGAGCCTGCTGAAGAATTTACCATAATTCATCTTTAAAGGACACGGATGTCATTCAGCGTCTCGGCTCGTCATGAGAAAGGACAGAGCAGGATACATTAGCATTTCTGATTAGCCAAAGGACATCGGCTCCTCATTCAGTATGCTAATATCCCCTCACATGTTCTGTCCTCTCACCCCCGGGGATTTGAGAGAGTTTTGTTACAGTTAAAGCTCACAATGAGACGGTGAAGCTGCAGCAGTCGATGCAGTCGGGTTCGAGCTGACGGTGCAAACTTTATCCCAAAGGTGTCCGCAACGTCGACTCGAGTCGTGTTTCATTTAGAGGATTTACAGGCTGCCGGATCTGTGATGTCATGTGAACCAGAGGGAACAGTTTGCCCACAGAAACGCACACAGAGGAGCCTCATGTGAGAGCTCAACTAAAAGCTTTGTGATACCGTCGAGCTCTCCAGGGTGTCGCTGAGCTGGGCGGCCGGGTGTTCAGCCTTTATGAGACAAGGCGTCTTGGCTTGGTGCTTTTTATTCTCGTTTTTAGTTCCTTGCATAAAGAAGTCTGAGTCTCTTAAGCTGTTTTCACACATGCACTCCCAAAACATGATGCAAAAAAGAGGTTGACATGAAAGTCAAGAAGCCTTGTCTCATGCCCATCTCCTGAGGTAAGAAGCAGCAGAGTCCTCTATACAACACTACAATGAGAATATGTGTCTTTCTATCAATGCTGTGTAGTTGAAGAGAATCTCAATGTGAACTAAAGAGTGGAGAAGAACATCCTGGAGAACAGGAAACATAATGCAGCAGGTTCATTAGAGCACAGAGATGGTAGAGGTGGCGTGCAGACAGTCTATGGTCGTGCAGCGATCACAGGGAATAAACGTCACCACCCCCTCCCACTCGCTCCAGGTGAATTCTCCTGATTATATCCTGCTGCGTTCTCACATCAGCTCACTCTGACTTTCTGCAGAATAAATACGAGGAGGCTGGAGGAGAAACTCAAACATTCAGCTGTTTGTGTTCACACATGATGCTCAGTCTGGAAATATCAAAGTCCAATCACTGTTTGCTTTTTAATCAGCATCTTAAATGATCACTGTGTCATCTGTGAGTTTACCGTCATCTCCTCTCTCCTCGTTAACTCGCTCGACTCAGACGTTAATGACAGCGTGTCGTCGTTGTCAGATCCTCTTCTGACTGTCAGACTCCGACTGAAGGTCAACACCAACAACTCCACATGACAACACATCAGACGACGTTCGTTTTCCTCGGGGCAGCGCTGTAGTTTAACGTCAACAATCGTTTAGACGTGTGAGGAAACATGTTGGTCAGCCGGACACATGTACCACAGACTGTCAATATGAGAGTCCATGAAACAGTCTGTGAGGCTGTAAACATGATTAGCAGGAATGCTAGCTGTACTCCCATGCAGGTTACAGGAAACAGGAACCATGCAAATAGAAATAAACAATAATAAACATATTGATAGGCAAAGAGAACATACATTGTGCAGTATTTATAGTTATTACGATCACAGTTGTGGTTTGCTTTGCGTCATAGTTTGAGTCGTTGTTAAAAGTGAAATTTGAAGAACTTCATCTCTCACTCCTCGTGTTCTCTCACACCAGAACCAGGGCCCGTCTCCTGTCCTCACTTAAAGGGTAACTAAACCCCATATTTTCAGCTCTACTGCTCTACCCTGGAATTTCAAAGAATGCATTTAGAACGTCAATGTATCAACTTGGAGAGGGAGGGGGGGCGGGGGGTGAAGTCGCCCACTCACTCCTTCCCGCCTTTATCAGACACAACATGATACAGTGTTTGCCACACACACACACACACACACACACACACACACACACAGTGACTCAGGCTCAGGGCTCAGTGCGCGTGTGTGTGTGTGTGTGTGTGTGTGTGTGTGTGTGTGTGTGTGTGGGGGGAGCGAGTGAGGAGAGAGAGAGTGTGTGTTCGGCAGGTGTGAGCGAGAGGCATGTTATGATGCCGGGGACCAGAGCAGAATAATCAGGAGAATGTATCAACTTAGAGAGGGAGGGGGGGCAAACTCCCCCCACTCACGTTATCAGCCGCAACATGATACAATGTTTGCCCCACACACACAAATACACACACACACACTTGAGTCCCCACAGTTCGCAGAGTCGGGTAACGAGGGTTTTATAGGTTTGGTGACGTAGGGCTGTACTCCTACATCATACTGTACGCTACACAGCCGTTAGAGTTTTTCAAACTGAAGGGCAGACACTCTGCACATTTCTAACACAATATTTCAAATTTCAATACTTTGTACTCAAATGTCGAGATTGGGACTTGGATTGATCCATAACACTACTTAATACTCAAATACAGAGGTTTATAGTTGAAAAAAGTGGTTTTAGGGTTTAGTTACTCTTTAATGAAGTTTGAGGGAGGTGTCTCACTGCGGGCTCCATCACGGTTGCCTGGGCCTCCTCTCTCTCTCTCTCTCTCTCACAGCGGGTTGGATTTCTGCCTGTGTGAGAATCTGGCCGAGTGTTGACAGGCTGCAGTCTGAGTTAATGTGTCCATGAAACCAGCTGCCACTCTGAGGCGAGCCGAGGCACTCACCCACAACTAAAGCGGGACTAATCAGACGGCTGATTAAAAGCTGATTGGATGCAGTGTGAGATTTCTCCTCATCGGTGTCACATGAAAGTGAAGAGGAAAAACGACCGGTGCTGCAGTGTACCTACAGCCTTACATAAACTCACTCACTTCATGTCATCAGGGTGAACTCGGGGATGAGCTGCTTCTGCTCTTTTTTACCTCCGTCTGCTGGTTGCGTGATTCACTGAAATGTTGCAGCTGAAGCGAGAGGGGTTGCCTGAACTTTAGCTGAACCTGAAATTCATTAAAGCAGCGGCTTAACCACCACTGAGCAACGTGAGCAACTTGATTTGCATGCAGGGACATGATTGGACCAGAACCAACCTTTTAGTTTCATCCAAGCACGCAATTGGACGAGCGTGGCCGTCCTCCAAGAACCCAATGGGTGAAGTCTCAAGTCTGTGGCTGCGGAGTCCAGAGCGGCAATGAGAGGATGAAAAGATTTAGGATGTGAACGAGTGTTTTCATCAGCTGCATGTTGATGCAGATTAAACGTGGGCGTATAAACGTTGAGTCTTTTTATGAGTGAACCCGGGTTAATAGACTTAGTCCTGTGGACAAATCGGTATCTCGGCGTTCAATTTGATCCTAATCCCCCCTCACAACCACAAGCTGCTAAAGTTAGTGTTTCCTTATAGACAGGTGTGTATTCATGTGTGCACGGACATGTGTGTCGAGCTGTCTGTGTGCAGCGCTGAGGCTAATTCAGTTAGCTCTGTGATGTGCCCTCTCATTAACTTCCATTTGGAATGCTTCTCTGAATTAGCCAAACAAACACGCTCCTGCTTTCATCTTTTTCCTCGTGTGTTTCTGTTAGAAAAGCTGCTCAGATCTCTCAGAAAACATGAATGTTTTACAAAACAGGACAACAGAATCTTATAACCATCCTCTCTCCTTCACCAGTTCTTTCCTCTTTACTGTTCTTGTTTGTGCAGAAGATGAATAATCGTCGTTTTTTTTTTGTTTTTTAGATTTGTTTTTGGACATTTTGTGCCTTTATTAGAGAGATAGGACAGTGGATAGAGTCTGAAATCAGGGAGTAAGAGAGTAGGGAATGACATGTGGGAAAGAAGCCACAGGTCGGATTTGAACCTGGGCCGATGGGCGTGCGCTCTAATCACTGCGCCACCAGCGCCCCGAATAATCGTCCTCTTTTGTCTCTAATAAAACGTTTTTCTTTCTCTTCCAGATCACCACCAGAGGTTGTGAGACGTCAGAGATGACCCTGCGTCGGAACAGCCTCGGGCAGCTCGGTTTCCACGTGAACTTTGAAGGCATCGTGGCCGACGTGGAGCCCTTCGGCTTCGCCTGGAAGGCCGGGCTGAGGCAGGGCAGCCGGCTGGTGGAGATCTGCAAGGTGGCCGTCGCCACTCTGACACACGAGCAAATGATCGACCTGCTGCGCACGTCCGTCAGCGTCAAAGTGGTCATCATCCAGCCGCATGAGGACGGCACACCAAGGAGGTAAACACACTCGTTTCTTTACTTATTTTCATCTGAAATCTGACACCTGAATGAAAATCTACAGACGATGAGAGGCGTTCCTTAAGCTGCGGTTAGTTCACAGGAGGTGAAGACAAACTTTAGATCTGTTCATGCAGAACTACAGAAAGGTGTTTTAAAATAGACTCTGGTGAAGTCAGAGTTGGTCTGTAACTGGTTTCTTGCACTAAAAGTTTTCCATCCAGGCTCTGAAAAGTCTTCACAGTATGAAAATTGAAGGATTTTCTTCACTTCTTGAAGCATCCAGACGTTGTCTTCCTCTTATTGCTCATCTTTCATGATGTGCCTTCATGAAAACACCAAGAAAAGGTCTTCTTTTTGTGCTGTGTCTTCTGTTTTTATGTGAAGTCGGGGACGTGCAGTTTGCAGAAAAAAGAAATGCATTGAAGCTCGGCTTGTTTTGAAAATGTGGAGACATTTGAGCTAAGACGTAAAAGAAACCGTCAAAATAAATGCTCAAGTAAAGAACGTATTCCTGAACTCTCTGCAGAATCAGAGTTTTTTGTTCTTTCCAAACTGTATGAACTCCTAATAGAAGAGTTTTTTTTTGTGATGAATGAGTTTGACATTTGCTCTCCTGTCTGAGACGATTAGCATAAAGAAATGCTTACATTCTCTTTTTGTAGAAGCACAGAGGTTTCTGTTTTTCTCCCTCCAGAGGACGCTCTCTCTCTCCCCCTCTTCCTCTCTCGCCCTCTCTCGCCCTCTCGCCCTCTCTCTCTCTCGCCCTCTCCCTCTCTCCCTCTCTCTCACCCTCTCTCTCTCTCTCTCTCTCGCCCTCTCTCTCTCTCCCTCTCTCTCTCTCTCTCCCTCCCTCCCTCTCTCTCTATCTCTCTCGCCCTCTGTCTCTCTCTCTATCTCTTACTCTCTCTCCCTCTCTCTCGCCCTCTGTCTCTCTCTCTATCTCTTTCTCTCTCCCCTCTCTCTCCCCCCCTCTCTCTCTCTCTCTCTCTCTCTCTCTCTCTCTCTCTCCCCCTCTCTCTCTCTCTCTCTCTCTCTCTCTCTCTCTCCCCCCCCCCTCTCTCTCTCTCTCTCTCTCTCTCTTTGTGTTGACGTGGTGTTGTTGCAGGAGAAACTTCCAGCAGGCCTGTGGAGTCACAGACACGGGCAGTCAGCGTTTCTCACTAATGATAATGAGAGGAGCGCTTTTGATTAATGGCTCATCTCTCGCTCTCTTTGTCCGACAGCTCTCATTTCCAGATTGCTTTTTTTTCTAACCTCGCCAGTTCATCTCTTCACCCATTAGTGGGGGAGTGTTGGGCTTTCTAGAGACACACCCCCATGGAGAGGCTCCGTCGTATTGAATCAGATCACGCTGTATTTTATACAAAGATGTTGTAGACGAGCTCTTGAGCAAGGAAGAGTTGAAGTCGTGTGTGAATCTCTGGTTCCGAAACACAGCTGCTCGTTGTGTCTGTGAGAGACGGAGCGCTCACATCCATCACTCTGTGACGGTCAAATTGTCGACAGCTTTGTTTTGGTTTTGCTTCAGGCTGACAGATTTGTGTCCGAGCTAACGCTCCTCTCACTTTGTGTCAGAAAACCTCAGCAGAATGACTCGACAGTCTGCAGAGAGAATATCTCCACTTCCTCCTCTTTCTCCTTTCAATGTGATCCTCCTGTTGTTGACTCATTAACTCAATTATTCACCTGTGGATGAATGTGCGGTTATAAAGCTAAGCCTAGTCTGTCTACAAACCCCCAAATAATGAAAAAAGTCCATCCTCTCCGTCATCTGCCTGCTCCACTTTTCAGAAAATGTGTGCTCAAACAGGCCGTTTGGAGATTTTCCCTTCATGACATCACAAAGGGCAGTAACCCCTCCCCCAGGTGGGTGACACTCCCACAGCTAGGTGTTTGTTCTGCACTCTGAGTCTGCCTTCTCACTGTAAACAATAGAACATGGAGCGAGAAAGACTGAGACACCCAAGCCCTTCCAGAGAGGGGCGTGGTCAGACACAGCTCATTTACATATTTAAAGGTACAGACACAGAAACAGGCTGTTCTGAGCAGGGCTGAAATAAAGGGGTTTATAGACATGATTTGGGGAGCTCTGGGACTTATTTAAACTGGATGAAGATGAGGAGAATATGTGACCTTTAATATGATGTGTGGCTTCTTAGGGAGCGGTCTCACTGGCCATCCGTACCGTGCCCAAGCACACTTCAACGCTAAAGTCCAGTTCGTTAGATCAATGTGACCGCTCCGTATCGTGCTCAGGCACGGTACACTTCCTTGTCTTTGGCACACTTTGGAGAGGTGTGCTTCAGCACGGTACACTTCATGCATGAGCACAAGCACGCGGGTACACAACGCTGACAGCCTTCATTATGGAGAAATCCAGAGTTTCATGGCTGTATCTAACTAACATGACACAATATGAGACACAAAGTAGCTGTCATGCTCTCTGTGTTGTTCTCCGATGTGGCCACGCGTCTATTTTATTTATTTATTTATGGCTGTGTCTGATTAAAATGGCTTAAAATAAGCTGCAAAGTCAGAAAAGTAGCTGTCAGGCTCTCTGTTTTTTTTTCTCTGATGTGCAGACTTGACTTGACTGCGCGTCTCTTTTTCTCTCTCTCTCTGTCTCGTCCGCCTGTTTGTAAACTGAGCACGCTTCACGTTATGTACAAGAGGTGATCGTGCTTTTAGGCAGCGTGGGTATGGCGCAGCGGGGGGGCAATCGTGCTTGAGTACAGCACGGTACAGATGACCAGTGTGACCGCGCCCTTAATATGATGTTTCTATCAGCCAGTGGAGGACAGTAAATGTTCTGAGTTTCTGTTTTTATGAGTATCTTTTTTTTTTCTTGAAGTAAACATTGAAGCTGTCAATAATGGAGTGTGAGCCGCTTTTAAAAAAAATCCAGAAAGATAAATTTATGCTTTAATGCTTCTTCATACTGTGATGTTTGTGGATGCTTGATGGAGACTTTCATCTGTGATATGTTTGTTGTTGTTTTTACCCTTTTAAGCCAAATTTCCGGGTGCTTTGTGTATTCCTGTGTCTGTATATCAAAGCTGGTGTAGTATGTGCGTGTCGAACTGTGTTCAAACTTTGCATCGAGGCCTGGCAGCCGGGGGGACGAACATATTTGCTCCCCCAGATGGTGAGCTAACGTGGCTCGTCTGTGAATCCAACACAGCAGCCTCTCTGGCAGAACGGGCGTCTAATCCTCTTACCTCGATCTGCGATGATACACGATGATACAAATCATAATCGCTGCTCAGGGAGGCAGAAAGCAGACAACACGGACATCTTCCAAGAACCGGTTCTGTGTGTCGATGATGGCGCGGCCGGCTCCCTGGAGGAGTGATTTCAGGACGGGGAGGCATTCTCTGACGCCGTGTGTGTGTGTGTGTGTGTGTGTGTGTGTGCCAGTTTGAAGGCATCTGGCTCGGCTTCAGTCGCAGCGCTGTGAGGATGCATCAGACGGCGCATAAAGACGGCCTCATGGATGCTCATGCTGCATTACACTGTGCACATAAGGATTCATCATATCATGCTGTATGTCCTTAATGGGTTCTTTGATGCATTATGCATTAAGCTTGACCCATATATGGTGTCGCTAGCACATGCATTTGGCAGATTAGCAGGTATTACAGCAGAAGACTATGCTGGCCCGAGCTGCTGAGCTTCACTGGGAGATTTCATCTTCTTACTTAAAGCCACCAAAGTCCACAGTGACCCTCTCTCTCTCTGCTGTGTGGGGTCTTATTTACATAACCGTGAAGAGCTGAAATGTCTATATTCAGACTAGAGAACCTCTCACGTTCTTTTTCATTTTCACTTTTTTAAAGCCAAATTCGGGAGTCTCTAAAAAACCTGCTTTCTCTTTGTCAGGCCATGAGAACCAAAAGACTCCCTCTCCGTCTTGGGGTTCTGTGAATTTTCTCCCAAGGCTCCAACAAACCGAGAGGTGAGAGGTTAGGTGAAGAATCTCGAGGACCCTCGACTCTTTTTGGCCGCTGCGTCTTTGAGCTTTCTAAAGTGTTGCAGTCAACAATAAAGTGCTCGAGTTTCTCCGCTATTATCTCAAAGGAAAGGAATTCAGCGGGGGCCCGGACGCCCCCAGTCAGTCCCCTGTGGCCACAGAGAAGGGGGTTAGTCTAACAACAATGGACAAGAGTCTCATGACCTCCAGACAATGTGGCCCGGCTCCACACTGCTACTGTGACAAGGAAAAATGTTTTCATAAGCTCATGCTGGGGCTGCAGGCAGAGTGGGTCCTTTTTACTGGTTTTAAAACGTCAGATTGCCGTTTGATTTTTCAGCGAGGATTGAAGGGGTCGACTGTTTTTTAAAATGTAATTTGCAAGAAGAGGAGAAGCCTTGAGAGCCCTGTTAGCACTGTTTGCAGACACTCTGTTAAAGCTGTTTACGCCCTAAATGGTTTTAGCCCGCTCAGCCTTAAGCCAGCGGAGATATGCCTCTAATATTAGTCTAACCTGCTGCTGTATTTGTTTACACTGCAGGAAGGATGTGGTTGGAGCAGAGAGCAATAGAAGAGGCTTTTCAGTCATCGCTCTAAAAAGGCTTTAAACAAGTTCAACATGTTAGCCTGGGTATCCAGCTAACGAGGAGAAGGTGAAAAAGATTAGCTCTGTGAAACGGGACGGTGCAGAACATGCAGGGATCATATATTTTAGGAGTAAACACAGTTTGGATGTTCATGAGAAAACATTCAACCAGAAACTGAGACAAATGAGAGTCTGTGAAATTAGAAATGGATCTTTTTTATGTTTATGTTCATGCACCTTTAAGCTTATAATGACAAAGATTCTGTTTGAGTGTGTGTGTGTGTGTAACCTGATTCTCTCCCCCCCCCCCCCCACCCCCGCTGATAATGAGTGTCCCCCGTGGACGTCAGATGTCCACTTGTGACCTTTACTTTGAAGTGTCATCAGACTTGTCATCATGGATTTTTATCTGGACTGAAGCTAAGCCGGATTTCTCACTTCTCATGCCAACACCCTGTGAAAAAGAGCCGAGCTCGCCCCCCAAAAACTCACAGAACCTGCACCACAAATAGTTCAGATTAATCCCCCTGCAAGCTTTCCTCTTTTCTCTCCCCCCTTGCACTCTCTCCTTGTCACTCCCCCGTGCTCTCCTCCTCTTCTCTCTCCTTTGGATCAGTTTCCAAAGAAATCAGTGAAAAGCTTTTCTTTTCAACCTCCTTCTCCTCTACACTCTTTAAACTCCTCAGCTCACCTTTTTTTTTTCTTTTTTTTTTTTTAAATGAACCTGGTCTCAGCGGTCTGAACGGGGCGGCAGGAGGTCAGCCCCTCTGTGGCTCTTTGCTGCCACACTGACGCTGACGGTGGGAATGGATTAGCATGTGGCTCAGTCTCTGGCCTGTCATCACAGCGACAGCTCTCCGGCCAAGGTCTAAGGTCCCGCCGTCACTCTGATCTATTGTGATTCTTTAAGAAGCGCCGGCTGAAGGAGCTGATTGTTCTCGTCCAACACGCCACAAACTGCTACCAGCTCTTTATTTAAGATTTTAAATGATTATGAAAATAGCTCTTTAATAAAAGCCACATTTATCTCACAAATCCAGATTAACATATCAAGATATAAAAAGCAAACAATTAGGCCTGAGTTCCCTTTAACAAGTTTAAAAAAATCAGCCAATGAGGCGAGACGGTTGAGTTATCAAACTATTTTTTTAGTCTGCATTTGCGTAACCATAGTGATGGCTGATATGAACCTTAAAGTGACATAAGCAAACATGCCTGGACTTCGTTTTCGCTCCATTAGCCCGTGTTTCTTTCCATGTATTATGATTTTAAAGGTTTTTATTGATTGTTATTAGCTAACGTTTACAGTGGGATTTAAAAATGGAGGTTGGCGGCACTGGAGGGGCTCTTCTGGTGGACCAATCACTGCGCACTCACATCACTCAAAGTCCCTCTTGTGCTGTGGGAGAGTATCTGCTACTACTGCCAATGAAAAACACCCTCCTCTGATCCTGGAGGTGTTCATGGTGTCGTGTAAGTCCATGAGGGCGGGGCTTACATATATATGTATGACATAATAATAAAATAAAAACTTTAAACTTCATCAGAGACGTTTAAAAGAAGACTCTGGGAGCCGCTGATGGTTAGCTGAAGCTTGGCTCATCTGTTCACTCTTGCTTGTTAAGAATCCAGCAGCAGAGGTTTGAAGGAGCTGTCATTTATAAATACTGCAAAACCCAACTAGTGGTGGAGGTTGTGTTCCTAAATTATTCCCCAGTAAGTCAGACGTAGCTGTGTTTTAGTTGAGCGTATGTTGGTTTTAAGTATCGATAAGCTTATTCTGACCACCATGGTTTCATTTATAGAGTTCAGCAGCAAGAGGAAGCAGACTGTTTTATGTCTCACTGCTGCCCTGATGGAGGATTCTCGAAGCCTCCAGCTCGAGTTTAACTGTCGACCAAACACTTGTTTCCTGCTCGCTCTCTATGATTTATACACAGCCAGTCCAAATCCCCCTACACACGACAAACAAGAAGCCGTCTCTACAGTCGGCAGGCCAAAAGGATTCCTAGCTGAGCCTTAAGTATTCTCCTCTGAGGAGGAAAATTAAGATCATCGTCAGATCTTAAATTCTGATGCAAAGAGAAAGGAACAGCAGAGACCTTTTCCTGTTGACAAGCTGTGAGCGAGGTTTAACACACACACACACACACACACACAGTTAATCAAGGTAATGAGTGGGTCAGCAGCTCTCAGAAAAAAACAATTGACCAGCATTGGTGGGGGATTTAACACTCTTGTAAGCGTATTTTTCTTATGAGGGATTTAAAGAGCTCAGGTTCCACAGTCCGATTTTATTCAGGACATGAAGCCAATGCAAATGACCATGAACTGCAGTTCCTCCAGTCTCCACTAGAGTCTGTCTCCCGCAGTGAGTCAGGCCCCATGTTAAAATGTCCAACTTTACAGCAGAAGTAAACATGTTTACATCCTGGTACAAAAACAGTTTGGGTCTCTAGAGCTCATTTCTCTCTTCATCTGTACGGGCTGAATGTTTATACAACTCACTTGTTTACATTATATGAAGGCTTAAAGGGATGTAGAATTAGGGGGCGTGGCCTCTGTGAGTGACAGACGGGGGCAGCTAGCTGTCTGCCTCAGATGTGTCACCTCAGCTAATTCAGCTACAAGTACAAACTGGTGTTTGCAAACCCATTCCTTCTCTCCGGCTCCGACCTCTTGTCCAAATATGTTCACTTCTGGTGACAGAAAACCAACAGGGTGAAAGCCAAAATGCCAAATCTCTCCTTCAAGGCACACAGGAAACTGTTGTTGACATCCATGGTTTTATATTTTACGTCTCTGATCCTCTGATGCTGTTATGCCTCTCAATATTCTCACTGTCCCACATATCAAACCAGTGATGCATGCTACATATGTTCAGTAAATAAATCATGAAACCTGAAGAGTATGTAGAGCATACCATTGATGGTCTTTCATCATGGATGAGATTAGCTTGTAGATGACCAGATGTGAGAGACGGGACGACACGGTGGAGGAGGAGGAAGCGACAGACGATCTTCTCGTTAGATCTTCTAACACCAGCGGCTCTGGTGGGCTGTAAACAGGCCAGCCGCCCGTGGCCCAGTTTGATGAAAAGGTCTCAGTGAACAGGAATACTCCCCCCCCCCCCCCCCCCTTCCACCACGGCCTCTGCAATCAGCTGTGTGTACACATACGACCACATCAAACCCTAACCCTGGAAAATAGACTTTGCAGGTGGAGGTCGCTGTAATCTTTGGGTCATGCTTGAGATACTTTTGAAGATCTAGGGGAGCATCCTCACTCAGACCCAACACCCTGGAAAACCCCCACACACAAAGCCTCGCCCCCCCTCACAGATTAATGTTGCATGAAATGACATCACAGGCCGTGTCCATCCTGAGATCCTCTTGTTGTTCGCTCTAATGGGGACGGAGATGGAGGGAGGAAAAGTGGAGGCACTCAGGATAAGACTCACAGCTGACGAGGACGGAGCTGAGATTTTCAGCCCGGTTCAAATGGATGAAGTGTTTCCTCCTGTTTGCACTATAACACCCCTCCCTGCACATGTCAGCACATGCAGGTACACACATGCCCATATACCTCTCTCAGGCTACGTGTTTTTAACTGCGTTGGTGTTCATTCACAGTAACACAAAGGCTGCACAGTCTCCATCTTCCAGTTTATACAGAGGTCATCAGGGTCGGCCATGTTTAATAATCACCAGCCTGTTTAAAGCAAGATCCTATAGAGTCTAAATGTAGTTAGCTAATTATACGCATGCAAAATCAATGTGTCATTTATGAGTTACTGCGATCATGATGATGTAATGATGACAAAGGCTTTTTTAAAACAGATTGTTTTGGCTGTTAAATATGAATTCCTTTTATTCAAACACTTGAGATTGATTGATCAGGAAATAGAGAACAGGCCATTGCTGGGGACGCAACTCTGATTCGACCTGATGTCCACGTCTGATCAGACGAGCAGGAAGAAGTCTTTTTTTTTTATTTAACACCAGCCTGTTTGTTGTAATATATTTAAAGCATGTTGACACTGTGGCATGAAAAGAGAAAAGGTGTAAAGAGCTGGGTGACATAGAAACATAGAAAGATTCACTTCAGTGTGTTTCATGATTTGGGGGCTTCTGGTGTGGTGTTTGGTCCGCGTCCCATGTACAGAGGCTGTGGTCCTCCAGGAAGGCGACCCGGGTTCAGGTCCGAGCTGTGGCTCCTTTCCTGCATGTCATTCTCTCTCTCTCTCTCTCTCTCTCTCTCTCTCTCTCTCTCTCTCTCTCTCTCTCTCTCTCTCTCTCTCTCTCTCTCTCTCTCTCTCTCTCTCTCTCTCTCTCTCTCTCTCTCTCTCTCTCTCTCCATCTCCTAAAGATGAAGAAACACAATCACTTCAAATCAGGAGAATGATTTGACACATTCTCTAAAACTCTTTTCTTTCCCCCCCCCCCTCTCTTCCCTCTCAGGGGCTGCTCCGAGCTCTACCGCATCCCCATGGTGGAGTACAAGGTCGACAGCGAGGGAACACCCTGCGAGTACAAGACGCCCTTCAGGAGAAACACCACCTGGCATCGGGTGCCCACGGCTGCCGGAGCTCCTCTCTCCCGAGGCTCGCCCACGCAGGGACCCGACCGCCTGCAGTGCCAGCAGATCCTCCAGCAGCACCAGGCGGCCATCCCACGCAGCACCTCGTTCGACAGAAAACTACCAGACGGGTCCAGGTAAGCAACCGTCCCTGCCTCTACCGCTCCTTATTTCTTGATTCTTTTTGCATAGATTCTTTTTTTGGCCTTTATTTCACAAAACAGCTAAAGAGAGTCCAAACAACGAGAACAGGAGACGCACTATCTACAAACTGAGCAGAGCCATGTCACCATCCTCACTTGTTTATCTGTCATCAGGGTTTCACAATAAAAAATAAATGAAATGTTCCTATTTATTCCCAGAATGGTTGGAACCCACCCCTAAAAAGTGTAGCTTAGTAGGTAGCATGATAACGACGATGCCTTGTCCTGCACAGAGCGATAGTATGACAGTAAACTACATCAAAACTGTAACATAGACAATAATTATCACAGAGCTCAAACAAGACGTGCTTTACATGCATGTAAAAGAAAATCCTACATCCCTACAGCTTCTTTAAATCAACGGTGGCTCAGTGGTAGATTCGTCGTTTCTCAACCAGAAGGTTATGTCCCCAGCTCGTGTCCGATGTGTCCTTGGGCAAGACGCTGAACCCCAAGTTGCTCCCGCTGCTTCGTCTGCGGTGTGTGAATGTGTATGAATGGATGAGTTAATACTGATGGACTCTTTACTCAGCAGCCTCTACCATCAGGTGTGAATGTGTAGGTGTGACCTGCGGAGTAAAAGCGATTTTTTTTTTTTGGCCTTTGTTTGATAGAACAGCTAAAGAGAGACAAAAGACAAAGTGGGTCAGCAGCCTGGGGGCCACATGAAGCAAAAGGCTGGGGGTCAGAGTCAAACCAGGGAACGAGAGACGCACTCGTCTCCTCCCTCACTTGTTTACCTGTCATCAGAGTTTCAGACCCAGAGAAATGGAGATCACATCGTGTCCTGCACAGAGCGGTAATAAAATCTAACATGGACGCTAAAAGTCATCAAACAAACTACTTCTCTGCTTTGGTGTTAACACTTTGACAAAGCTTCCCACTTCAGCTTTCAGCAGTCACATTTTACTCAGCAGGATGTTTAAACACTCAGTTCAGTGTGCACTAAGAGTTTAATGTTTGAAACTCACAAGCAGCCAGAAAATGTTCCTCTTTTATTGGACTTATTTGTTACACACGCACACTTGAGTTGAAGTCACAGAAACCTTATTGACAGCTGTATGAAATATAAAAGGGACACAAAATGGAATAACAAAGAAACATTTTTATGATTACGAGACAGTTTTGTGAGTCAATCTTTTTCCGAGCGTTGCCGGCGATCAAACATCCCGCCGCTCAAAAAGCTCCGATCCTTTGAGGAGAAATCTTTGAACTCTCGTCCTTCTCATCCAGGAGCGAGCTGCAGCGCCACCCCGAGAGGGGCTTATTGTCTTCCTTTATTTGCATCCATACAAATGGAGCATTTTAGTCCGATGAATTCACGGCTCCGCTTTCATCTCCCTTTATACGATAAGGCCACGGTCAGACTTTGTTCCCGTCCTGCTCGCGTCTCATTTGGACGTCTCCATCCGGCCACCTGAAGCAGCGATTTGTTCTTTCTAATGAAGCCCTGCAGTCGTGATAACCTTTCCTGAGTGTCACCCGCCCAGTGTCTTCCGTTCTGACTGTACCGGGATAATGGCCGCCTTCTCTGCCTAATCAGAGTCTCTGGCTGTGGGAGCGCTCCTCCCCCCCCCCCCCTGCTGGGGAGGTGATGGGGACACCGACACAGCTCGGCTCATCTCATCCAATTACTGCAGAAACAAAGAGAGAGCTCTTCTCCTGGACTGCGATATGAAGCACTCCTGAGGGAGCGGGAGGAGAGGGAGGGAGGGCGGGAGTCATAGAGGACAGGAGGAGAATAAAGCACGATGCCATACTGTAGCTGAGAAGGAGCTGCTTATTATTTGTATTTCATGTTGTGTGGACATGCACAACAAAAGCAGGTGCAGCGATGCTTCTGCAGCTGCAAGGCCGAACGTGGAAAGACGACGGAGAAGCTCAACTTGTTAGAACATTTTGAAATCATGATTGAATTTGTTCCAAACACTGTCAGAAAAACGACGGGCCCAATCTCTCACCTGGAACAAAGCACAGTGCAGCTGCTGGAGCTCGTTTCAGACAGACAGAGTTATTTTCACGCCTTTCATCCATATTGTGTAAGGAGCAAACCAATTAACACACATCTGTGCGTCCTTTGGTGAGCTCGTCTCGATACGAGACGTACGCAGCCACGACGTTGGTGCGTTTCTGTCTTTAGGGAGAAGAAAGTGACTGCTGCTTTAATTAACAAACAGCTGAGCTTTAAGTCAGTGAGGATTTGTGTTCCTGCTTTTTGAAGGGAGCATTGTGCAGAGAGTAAAATGTGACATCATAGGCAGGTTTTTTATATAGGACAAAGACACACACACACGACAGCAAGGACTGGTACGAGCACATTACAGCCCACATGGGAAGCAACAACAACATATTTTGCAAGACTGCACAATACCCTTCATCAGAGTTCAAATATTGAACATGGATCAGGGAGTCCACAACATACGCAGAGCTTTAAAATACGACACACTGAGCATGAAGGACCCTCAGAGGTAAAGGAGTGGCGCCGGTCAACATCGTAGTGCGTCCTGCGTACTGTAGCTGCTGTGCCATGTGGGAGGCGGTTTTGAAAAAACCTTCTCATTCCCCTTTTACACCGAGGTTAAGCGCTGAATCGGCAAAACACTCCCATCCGTTTGTTAGCCACTCAGGGACACAAAGGCGGTAGGAGCCACCTTCTCAGTGTAGTATCAGTGGATTAGCATCACATGAAGTCAAATAGAGATGCTGTTTAGGCAGAAGACGGGGAGGAGACGAGCTTTTCTCTACCAAGTCTCCTGAGGTCATCATATCGTTTTTTTCTCATCACAACCTCCTCACTTCCCTCTTATGCCTCCTGTGCCGCCTTTCCCTAATTTTACTCATTTTTTACTCCTTTGCCTCTTTGAGTCCTTTGCCTCCTTTGCCTCTTTGCCTTCTTTTGACTCCTTTGCTTCCTTTGCCTCCTTTCCTTCTTTGCCTTCTTTTGACTCCTTTGCTTCCTTTCCGTCCTTTACTTCCTTTGCCTCCTTTGACTCCTTTCCCTCCTTCCCTCCTTTGCCTCCTTCACCTCAGGGAGATTTGCTGGATTCCTGCTCGGACTAAAGGACTCTAACATGACGCATCCTGAGTCACCAACGTTCTCTCTCTTTTACACGCTACAAAGAGAGTAATTTATATACATGCATCCAACATAACAAGTTATGCAACAAATACTCTGGAAATATAGATATCATCATCATCACCTCTTCAGTGCAGAAAAAAGGCAAATCTGTGAAGCAGCAGCAAAAATAACCAAATCAATATTTACAGGCTCCCTTTCTTTGAAGTTGAAGCGCACAGATCTTTAATTAACACTCGATCCTGACTGATCCCGTCAGCATGTCTGAAGATTTAAATATTAAATGAAGCCACACTGCAGCGCCTCATGAATAAATACTCACAGCGTCTCTGTTAATGTGAAACACACATCGCAGCGATGGGATCAAAACGACGACGGATGACCTTTAAAACCTTTAAATACACTTGATCTGGAGATTATTCAACTTTTAGAAGCAGAAGGAGGCACTTTGGCGATTTGAAGGAGCCTCTAGTTTGTTGAGATTCAGTGTGAGGAAGAATGGTAATTAATCTCATTCTATTTTGTCCCTTCAGGCTCACCGTAGATAGTCGTCCTCAGTGTCTCCCTGTAGTCTCAGTGATGTAAAAGAAGGACACTGCTGCATCTTTGAATGTCTCATTTCACTTTAACAAACTCTCAGACAGCTCAGCTGACGAGTCCAAAGTAATATCCACCTTATGACATCACACATTGGCCCCTAACCCCGAACCACTTCCTGTTTCTGTGCTTAACTTCCTGTCCTAACCTTCACTCTACAGGAAGGGCCTTACTTTATTTAAAAAATAAAAGCACACAGGAAGTAAAGTACTCTCAGCTTAAGACAGGACAGCATATCAGAATAAAAGCCTTAACTATGGAAATTCAGTGATTAATTGAATTTTAAAACGATGTTTGAAAGCCTCATTGTTCAGCTACTAGTAATAAAAACTTAAAGAATCCATTACATGCAATGAACTGTCAAACGACCAGTGAAAAGACACCTTGAAAAAGGTAAACATGATAATATGGTGGACTCGGATCCCTGAAATGGGTCGTTGGTGGCCTAGTGGTTGGTGCGTGCACCCCATTTTCAGAGGCTGTAGTCCTCCAGGCGGGCGGCCCGGGTTCGGGTCCAACCTGTGGCTCCTTTCCCGCACTCTCTCTCTCTCCTTGATTTCTGGCGCTGTCCACTCTCCTGTCTGTAGCATGGGGGCATGAAACGCCCGAAAATCTACCTTTTTAAAAATGGATGAAGAGTTAAAAGAGCGAATGAGACAAAGATCAAAGGTTAAAGAGGATGTATTATCCCCCTTTTCCACCTTTTCTAACAGTCCCCTGTGGTCTAAATGAAACATCTGTGCTGTGCTTTGGTCAAAATATAACATGAATCAAGCACCAGAGGAGGTTTGTGGTCCTGTATAAACCAGCTCTCTCCGTTTTGGTGTGTGTGTCTCTTTAAATGCAATGAGCCCCCCCTGAGTTTTCCCAGTAGACATCACTCCTCTGTACCAAGAATAAAAATGGCAGACCTGCGCAAAGGTTTTGCTCTAGGCTGGGGGTGGAGTCCATGCGTGGAGATATCAGGGGAGGGGAGGGGATTTTTTTTTACCAGAATCCCACTGTGACATCACAAGGAGAGCACATTAGAAATGGAGCATTTTCCTCTGTGTTGTAAGACTTATGCAGACCACAAACAAAGGACTGGATGGGTTTATTTAATATTTTGTGGGTCGGTAGACACTCAGGTTACCCAAATAAATTAAAAAAACACTGTAGAAGTGGATTTTTCATAATATGTCGCCTTTAAAGTTGATTAAAAGATGGCTGCCGCTGGATAACAATTTCCTCTTTTCAATGATTCATAATACCGTGGAATCAAACCGAGTTCAGGTCAGACATGTTGGATGGTGACAGGTGTCGTTGGAGTTCATATCAGAGGCTGCTGGGGGGCCATCTGACAAAAGCTCATCCCGTCCTGAATCCAGACCTGGCATCATAAAATCTGACACCTTCTCTGCAGCCAGCTGAGACGGGCCGCTAAGCTCTGCAGCCTGCAGTGTTATTGCAACGCAGACAGAGAAATTATATTCAATAACCCGCCCTCCCCACACACACACACACACACACACACACACACACACACACACACACACATCCTCCCCTCAGAACTTTACATTATGTCAAGAAGAAAAGGAAGGAGAACAAAAAGCAGCTGCTGCAGTTTCACATTTAAGTGCCCGGACTCGGCTGGAGGGACTTAAACTCCAGCCGAGGAGGAAATGTCGAGATCAGGCCGGAGTGTTGGATGATGTGTCTGAGGCCGACTTACTGACAGTTTAGTGAGTTTCCCATGGAGGTCCAGACAAAGAAACCTGATGACCAAGCTGGAAGGCTCGACGCGAGGGATGTGTCACCTTTTCATCTCGGGCTTCTTGATTTAAACGTTTCTCCTGGATAATTTTTTATGAACCTTGTCTGCACATTTCTGATCTTTGAACGTTAGGCCTCTGATTCTGAGCTGTTGTTTGAATTCAGATGTTTAAAAGAAGAGGGGAGATCACTCGCACCCAATCTTCAGATCGTTTAAGAGAATCAGACATACAGAAGAAAACCACAAGAATGCAAAGTATTTAAGTTAGCAGCTCGGCTCGGCTTCAGAGACTGAATGTTAAATCCATCCGCTCGTACTCCCATCCCGTCATACAACCTTCTTCTGTGTTGGTTAGAAAAGGAAGGCCTCCGGGCTGCAGACAGAACCTGAATCCAGTCTTTATTTTCCTCTCGAGACCCAATCCCGCAAATTATCTTCCCTTTTGACCGAGTAACAGTAAGTCAACGCGGACGCCTCCAGGAGAACCTTTGTCTTGTGAGCTTATACCTGGACATAACAACACACCATGTAATAGTTTGCACGCTGACATAACACGACAACATGTCCACAGATAGAACGATACTTTCGTTGTGATTGATCTAATTACACTAAAAGAGGACTAAGCTGCTTTGATATATAGAATAGTTTCAGCTTAAACGTTACTGTTGATGCACGGAGCAGCCATCTTGGATTGTAGTTCGGGCTACTGAAGGTTCACTTCAGGGTGGCGTTCCTGATGACGTATCAGACTGGCAACTCAGATTTTCCGACTTCTGAGATCAATTTGAGCGCACCATTACTTCAATACCCGATGGCAGCAGCACTTCTTTTAAATCAATGAATCTACTGATTATCTTTTATGATAAAACAGCTTCTTCATTTATGAGCTGAAAGAAAGTTGGCGCTAAATTGTCGACACATTTTGAGTCCAAACTGACGTCTTTGACATCACTTCTTTTGTCAAACCAGCAGCTCAGACGTTCAGAAAAAGCAGGAAAATCTTACGTCCAAGAGGTCGGACCCAGAGAGTATTTCACATTGTTCTCCAAAACTGTTAATCAGTTATTCAAAATCTAGTTGAATTTATTGGCGGGCTACACTGTGTCACATTGTTATGATGTCACATTGTTATGATGTCACACTACTAACTTAGCCATCGGTCTTACACCGCGCTTACCAAGTATGGGGACAGGACTCAAGCAAGGTCAGAGTTTACTGAACCAAACCGGACCACATGGTGGAAACGGGCCTTCACTTTGATCGGTGTTATCTTTGCAGAAGTTAAGCTAAAATTGTTTTACAAAGTTAACATTGAAAAGTGTCAAAAGCTCCTTTAAATGTAAACGTGTTCAAATATAATCCAAGACCATAAATCTGAAACTGAAATGTCCTCCGACACTGAGGAGCGGCTTCTGTCCTCACATGGGGGACTTCACCATCTGGATCACATCCTCGGACATATTAGCAGAACTAATCTCTGTTTCTGTTTGTCTTTGGAGAAAGAGACACCATCTCCCTCTCCGACAGTTCCAACGTTTTCTCAGAGATTATCCACGGAGCGAGGGGCCATTCACGGGACTGTCAGCCAATCACACGCTCATTAGCGGCGGACAGAGAGGGAACGTTTTCTCTCTTTTCTGGTCGGAAATTTCAGCTTGAGGAGAGTCCGGCCTCGGGCGTCGAGTTCACATTTGTTTAAGTAAATAACTGAAGAAAGAGTAGAGAGGAAACTGTCAGAACTCAAAGTCTCTATCAACTAGTAAGTAAGAAGAAGAAGAAGATTTACTTTATTAATCCTGAGAGGGGAAATTCAATTTTACACTCTGCTGTTGAACATGCTGCACACACACACACACACACACACACACACACACACACACACACACACACACGTACGTACTGATAGAGAGATGTCAGAGTGGGGGGAGCTGATTAGGGGGGGTCAGTGCTTTGGTCAAGAGCAACTCTGCAGTGCTCCTCCCCAGCTACCAGACCAATTTCCAGACTTGGTCCACACCAGGACTTGAACCAGTGACCCTCCAGTTCCCGACACAAGTCCCTACAGACCGAACTCCTGCCGCTCCAGATTTTCAGCAATAGAAAGCTGACAAACAGAATAAATAAAACAACTTTATTGTCCTTCCCACTATGGGCAGAAATTCTCCTTTAACAAGGCACAAACCTAAACACAAAAACGAGGGCTGTCAAACGATTACATTTTAATCACGTTTAATCAGTCAATTTCAATAGTCTACCATGATTAATTGCACGTTTAAAATTGCATTATTATGCGTTGCTGTTTGAATTGAACCCTGCTTTTATTTTGAAATAAGGTAAAGACCTTCTGGTAGATGGAAGGTATTAGACTTTTATGTAAAGCTGCTCATTTGTTTTTTTCTGAAACTTTTAACTGCTGCTGCCCATCTTGAGCAGCACACGTTGGAGTTTTTATGCCTTTATTTAGATACAGGACAGAGTCAGAAATCAGAGAGAGAAAGTGGGAAAGGAGCCACAGGTCGGATCATGCTTCTCTGTACATGGTGCACATGCACTAACCACTAGTCTACCGGCGCCTGGAGCAGGACACTCTTGAAAAATATTTGGATTCTGAACTTCCTCTCCTGGTTAAAAAAAAAAAAAAGAGGAAAAAGCTTTAAAAATGCAACATGTTTGTTCTACATTATTGGAAACTAAAAACCTTATGTGATTGGACTGTTTGCTGTACAAAAGAATTAGAAAATGTCAGCGTGGGGATTGTGTAACTTTTTTGTCCTCTTTTTAAAAATATTTGGATGTCTTCTAATCCATTCAGCTGCCTGCTCCATCCCAGAAATGGCTCTTTATTAAAATCTCTCATGCAGCCAAAGTCTCGATCATTTGGGAAAAAACATTTCTGACAGCTGTGTATCTTTTGTTGGTGTGTTTGTGCAGGATGATGCAGGACATGGAGAACCCTCAGGTCACCTCGTGCAACAAAGGAGACCAGCACTACCGCAGCTCCCCCAGTAACCAGTCATCCTCCAGTGATCCGGGACCCTGCGGCAGCGGCACCTGGTCCCAGCAGCCGGGATACGACGGGTACGAGACCACAGCAGTGTTACTTCTTAACAAAGATCCCCTCCAGGAATAGGCCACTTTTTTCACTGATGAATGCAGCTACAATCAGGCCCTGCTCTATTTCTGAGGACATGCAATTTTGCAAAATGACACCCATTTTTCCTGAAATGACCAAATCATCAGCGCGCTTTTTGGCCCTTTCCGCCTATTTTTTGCAGAAAGTAATCTTTCTACGGTCTGATACCACATCCAGAGCCCAGAACAGCCACATGATGGATGATGATGAGTTTCCTGAATGAGATTTTTTTTATGTGCATTATTTAAATTTCCAGTCATTCATCAGAAATCAAAGTGAAAGTAGCTCTTTGTGGATGTAGTCATTGAGTCTGAAAGCTGTTAAGGAAGAAACAAACGTAATGTTGGTCATTAAACTTTGATTGAGCACTTCAGGATAAGAGGAAGAGATTATAAAGAACCTGTCTCTGTCTTGTCCTTTCATAAATGCTGCTGTGACTGAAGGGCCGCTTTGGCAATCCGCTCTGTCATTTTGGAGAAAGCAATTAAAGTTTTTTGGCAAAGAAGTTAAAAAAAATCTGCAGCAGGAAAAGGTCTCAGAAAACAGAGACCTTACGTCTTCTGTCAAAGTAGTTTCAGCGAAAACAACTTCTTTCTGTCATGAAACTTTAACAGTTTTGTATCCTTTAAAGCTCACGTCAGTATAGTCCTCTCTTCAGAATTCAGAATCCCCTTTAAAGGAGCAATCAGTAAGAAGTGACCTTACTATATGATCAGACATTAAGGAAACATGCTATGTTGAAGTGCTGGCTTCTCTGACAAGAATGCAGCAGCCAGTATGTCCTCCTTCTAACTTTAGATTCTGGTCCTGAATGCTCTGGATTTGTTTGGACCAGAGAAGGTAGGAAGTTTTAAGGCACCCCCACACGGCCGTTTTGGTTTGCCAGATATGAGAGCAGTTATCAGGTCAAACCAACAGGTGTTGCAGCGATGGAAGCGGGCAAGAGAAGTGGTTCAGATAGAAGTGATTGTACCCGACCTAAAAAGCCTCTGCATGTTTCTAATAAGCTCCACGAGCAGAAACGTGCTCAAACTAGGATCAATATTGGAGATGCTTTTGAAAAATGGAGAGAGGTTAGAACGCAGAAAGGTTTACAGACCGATGCAGCTTCAGTGTCCACCACATGGCAACCTGCATGAGCATCCACTCTAGAGAAGGGGGGATCTCTACAATGTTTAGAATTTGGACTGCAGTACCTGTTTTAAACACTAGCTTTCAGAGTTACATACTGCTCCTTTAAACTTTATTTTTTACACAGAACCCTATAAATAACCATGCAACTCTGTTCGCTCTACATAGAAACAAACAGACGTATAAGTGAGAGAGAAAAATCATGTACATTGTAAAGATGCGAGACATTACAACGAGAAAATACAATCTTTGAAATCAGTGTTTAAAATGAGTAAAAGGCCAAATAACAAAATAAACATCAGGGATAGGGCTATTGCGCTGTCGGATGCTTTACAGGGCAGCTGAGTCTTTATATCTGACAGGTTAAGTCTTGTACTTGAGCAGAATCCATCAGAGACCGTTGTCTGTCTGTAAGCGGTTACAGACCATGACAAGAGGCTTAGCTCCACGCCGCTGGCTTCCTGTCAGAGGCCTCACAAGTGCAGTGAACTCTCGGGATCGCTCTGCACCGTCAGAGCTACCTCCATGCAGAACAACACACACACGTCGACTGTTGGATTGATCTCCAGTCAGAGACGCTGTGGCCTCTGCTCTGCTGCTGTAACCTTTAATGAGTCTTTATGGTTTAATTAAGACACACGTTAGAAGATTTGCAGATTTCTCAGGAGCAGGAGAGCGCCTGGCATGCTAAGTCGAATGAAAGGAGGTCTCTCGTCTGCGTCGTTCTTTATTCTATTAAAAGCTTGAGTGATTCGACCTTAAACGATCTTGAGCTAATTGTTGTACATGTGTGGTAAATCTAGCAAAGCCTCTCCACGACAGGAATACTGACAGAGAATAACTTACAGCCCTTTATTATCTTCCAGGTGTCCCTCTCCGATTCTCCATGAGCGGGCGGGGGACATCCAGGGGGGAGACAGCGAGATGCACAGGGAGAGAGAGCCCACCTTAGAGAGGACCCGGTCTGCAGGTGAGTCTGATGTTCAATGCAAATCAGTGTTTACCTATCCAATTGTAACCTCCTATATAACATTTCTACAATGCAGATTTCCCAAAGCAGCTCTCCTTCATCAATACATATACATGATCTGAGTATTGGAAAAGGCTAGAATATCTATGTACGCCGATGATACTCCGATGTATCTTCTTATCTGCAGAAATTAGCAAGGATCCAGAGCTGGGCACACATCCATTAACATGGATAATCAGTTTTTAATTTTCATTCTATTAATTTTAACATGGACGGTTGTTAAAAAACGATTTGAAAAACCCTTTAATATCAGTCAATTCAGTTCCGGTGACATCCAAACTTCGCTCTTACACGGTAAGATGGACCTCAGACAACCCGAGCAGGAGCATAGCGCCCCCTATACTTTTGAGAGCTCTATGAATACTAAGCTAAAATGCCCGTGTCTGCCCCGGGCGCTTTTATTTTGAAATACTGCTCGACCTACATAACTAAACGAAGTTAACTGACATGGTTTCCTTCTGATCGTTGTCATTTACTTTAATGCTGTTTGGTTTGACTTCACTATCACTTTTATCTCGTCTTTTTGTGTTGTTGATGTTTATGGATTATTTGGTGCTCCCTGGATGTCTGACATATTATGTGAGTCGACCTCAGGAACAAGCACTGTTTCTGCAGTTTTAACCTGAGGGACTTAACTAACTAATCATAACTAACACTCTTCTTCTTCTCGCTCCACAGAGGCCAAATGGCACATCCCCTCCACCAAGATCCTGAACCCTCTGAAGCAGAGAGAGGGAGGAAAAGACTCTCCCAACAAGCTGTCCAGGGTAAAGATCTGACCTCTTCTAATCCCTGTCTGAAAAACAGCCTCCTCATGACATTTAAAGGTGTTTTCAAATCCATTGTCAGCTTGTTTGAAGGGCACTGGAGCTCTTTAAAGAGCTGAACGCAGCCTGTGCAGTGTGTGTGTCGTGTTGGGAGTAGAAATGCACACAGACCTGGTATACCCTCATCAGTGTTTGAATCACAGGCAGGTCAGATTGTCCTTGTTTATTGGCTTTGCCTCAACCAGCAGTTCAATTGGAGTGTTCATCCTCGTGTCGTCGCCTGCAGACGCTCTTTGCTCTTCTCACTTTGTCTCCATCAGCATGCTAATGGGCGTCTCGTCTCATCACCGCTTCTCGTTGTCTCTCACTTTTTTCTAGGACACATTTTCCTAGAAGGTTGAATATATTAAGTGTCGAGCTCTCATCCCCCGCTTTCTCTTTATCCACCTCTTGTGTGTCTTTCTTTTTTCTTTTTTTTTTTGCAAACTCACCACCTCTCCCTACGTCTTTCATTTCTCCTTTGGTGCTGGAGGCTGCAGCATTGCAGTGAACAACTTCTTTCAGAGCTTTGAGCTGGAGGCAGAGGATAAAAAATGTAAACCATCCCTTTGGTATTCTCCTCCCTGATGCACAGAGCTTGTTTTTAAAATCAGAGGAGCTGTTTGCGACGGGATATTCTCAGAAGCTTCAATGATTTGGGAGTTGTTAAGCACAGCTAAATAAAGAGAACATGACAGGTCATAATCCCCAGGTTTCTCTAATGAAGTTATGCTTTCACCCCTGTCTGTCGGGTCTACAGATATGTTAGGCGGATCTAAAGTTTGATTTTCCCTGAAACAAAATCTTGTGACATTCAGCAAGGAACTTTTGTGTGAACCTTTGTGTTGATAAATGGCCTGATCGAGCTTCAGCCTTACCTGTGCATGTGAAGGTACTGAGTGGTAACCAGCGTGACAGATTCATGGCCCTTGAGACAAAAGAGTCTTACAAACATGTATCGTATCCTGATGAGGCAACTCCCTCCCCTCCAGGATGTTAAAACAACCGTAGAAACTAAACCTGCTCTTTGCCCTCGTCTGATTCACTGTATTTCTCTCTCTCTCTCTCTCTCTCTCTCTCTCTCTCTCTCTCTCTCTCTCTCTCTCTCTCTCTCTCTCTCGCTCTCTCTCCCCCAGACGGGCGATAAAAACTCCAGCCACTCAAGTAGCAACACTCTCTCCAGCAACGCCTCCAGTAACAGCGACGATAAGCACTTTGGCTCCGGGGACCTGATGGACCCGGAGATTCTGGGCCTCACATACATCAAAGGGGCGTCCACAGACAGCGGCATTGACACTAATCCCTGCGTGGCGCCCGGGGCCCGGGTGCTGCTGCAGGGCCGGGTCGGTGAGCAGGGCCACCCCTGGGAGCACCAGGAGGACGGGATGTCGGAGGAGGATCATGGGAAGCTGTACCTGCCGCAGGGCTACGCCTCCGCCATCATGTCGAGTCATGTGACAGAGGGAAGCATCGGAGACCTGAGCGAGATCTCATCACATTCAAGGTAGAGTGCAGAGACAGGACGTGTGTTTTAATACGTTTTCTCCCTTCACAAATTCCCCCTTAAAGGTCGATAACGACGTCTTCTGAAAGAGATTCAGCTTGTGAACACGTGAAAGTGAAAAACATGAACGACTGTGTAGAGAAACATTCAGATTTCCTCAAGCTAAGCTAACAAGCTAAAGCTAACTGTGGCGTGCAAGATCATAATAAAACCAGAACCTCAACCCCGTCTGGATCCAAAGCAGCGTTGAAGCCGCTCTGCAGGCTGAACACTCACCATGACATCATTTATGATGTTTGTTTTTTCCCCACCAAATGCTTACTCTGAAGTTCTTCCTTCTTTTATGGTGAATACATTATTCTGCTGTTGCTCAAAGTCAGTGAAGTGGTTCGTTGGTTTAAGAGAAATCAGACCTGTGGACACACATTTACCCATAAAGCACCACTGCTGAACAAACAAAGAACAAAAGGATGGTGGCTAGCTGTTAGCTGACCTTCTCACCCAGCCGGGCTCCTCTCTGCTGACCCCTCAGTCTGACTTTTCCAGCTGTGCGGGACCCGGTGGGTGGGGCTGCTGTGAGGCCAAAGCATCACGGGGGATTTTCATCGCACCGTCGTCCGAGTCCTCTTCAGCAGACCGGGGCCCATCTGGGGGAGAGGGGAGGTGTGACAGAGGGGTTGGCCCCGCAGCCACTCACAGTCTGCCTCTGCGGTAAAGAACGGGTATCTATTTGTTTGTGCCATGCAGGATTATGTTAGCGCAATCTGTTCAGATCATTGACCCGTTTGGGAGGCGTCGGAGCTGTCCACTCCAGGATGTCATTCAGAGAGGAGGAGAGAGCACCATGCCATCACCTTGACTACTCCGCTGCTTCGCGCCTTTTTATGTAATGGTCTCTGACACCCGAGTGTCATCTGAGCAAACAGTGAAGCAGCAGGAGCACACGGTGCAGGGTGTGGCCCAGATGGTCATGAATATGGAAACAGAGTGTGTCGCGCCTGCAGCTAAAGCCACCTCGGTCGTCTCAGGGTGCTTACAGAGAGCGCGGTGAAGGCTGAAAGTTTTCCAGAAGACAAAGAGACGTCGGCTGCAGCTAACGAGTGACTTCGTTATCCATTACTCCGCTGATTCTCCTCAGCATCTCTGAGGGATCTTAAGATGTGTGGATACAAGTGACTAGCACCCTGGAGTTGTACCTGGAATATCACATTTCTAAGATTAATACACATCCATTTGTATCTGCCATTGAAGCATTTCTGACCATTACAACACAAGTCAAATGATTAGTTAAGCCACTTATGATACATTTAACTCTTCACTGCCGGGAATCTAGCCTTGGGGTTGCTGTATATCATTTTCTAAGTATGTGTTTCATGCTTTGAGAGCTTCCACACATATTTCCAAATGTCTATAAGTAAATCCACCTCTGTGTCACTGGGAGTGAGTAAGAATCACGCTCCGTTGTGATTCGAAAGCGCTGACCCCCTTAATCCACTTTGACAGTTGATATTTGACTTACTATTGAAAGGACAAAGTTCAGCAGGAGTGTGCGCGTGTCGGGCTGGATGTGAGTCATCATCAGAATGTGGGCTTGACTTTACTCCACATGGAGGAAATGATGTCATGATGTCAAAGTCAAGAGCTCTCAGTACTCCTCCATGTTGAACCATCGTCTCTGATCTAGTTTTCATGCTGAACGCCTGATTTTTATTTTCGTTGTTGAGGGTTTTCTCACAATTTCATGTTTTATGTTTTCTCTGTTTTTACTAAGGTTGTCCTAAGTTTTTGATACCTTTCGATACCACGAGCTTTCATTCGACTCAATCCTCTTTATCTGAATGAATATTGTATCAAAAACTGAATCTATTAAATAAGACAGCTGCATCAAAGAGGAACACATCTCAGAATTTTGCAGTTGTTGAAACGTTAAAAGAAGAAAGGTCCCAACATTGAAGGTCTAGGACTTCTAATTTTTTTGCCGTGGTATCGAAACAAGTGTCGATATCATTTTATTTTTACTTGAATCATATCAAAGTTTACATTTCTGCTTTCATGACAACCCTAGTTTTGAACTTTCATCCATTTTGATCACTTTTGAGTTACCTTATTCTTTCATTTCTTTGCTGTCTGCTCAGTGGCTCGCACCACTCGGGCAGTCCTCTGGCCCGCGGTGCCAGGTACTGTTTGTCCGCTGACTCCTCCAAGGTGTACACCATCCCCCAGACCAGCAGCTCAGGGCCTGATCCAGACCCAGATCAAGATCCAGAGGCAGAGGCAGAAGCAGAGCTGGGTCAGGTTCCAGGGCTCAGCTCAGAGGCCTGTGGACAGACACGTTCACAGCAGGGGGGGAATCTCCCCGGGGACATGAAGATGGCTGCTGATCATGATGAAGAAGAAGAATCCCACAGCACTGAGGGACCTCCAAACATTTCAGAGTGTGGGTGAGTGTGTGCGAGAGAGAGAGAGAGCACGAGAAGAACATGCTCTGATACTACAGAACAACAACTCTAACTTAAACTAACATGCTAAGCTAACTGACACTTTTAATTGGACTAACAGACCTCTTCGGCGCTGCTTCTCCTACTCTAGAGCCACTTCCTCTCAGGCTTAAAGCTGCATTTCTACTTCACAATCTTTCTCCAAAGACTAAGGACTTTGGGAAGTCTTAAGTGTGTTTCCACTGCAGGATCCAGGGTCTAGATTGATCCCCAGGGACTTTATTTTGGTCCTTGTTCCAGGGGTTGTACCTTAAACCTCCGTGTATGAGACGCACTTTTAGTACCTTTTTTCAAGCTGAAAAGTCAGCTGCATCCTATACACCAGTACAACTAATATACCAGTTTAAAATGCTGATGCTGTTCCATCATGACCACAAGTGCAGTCGCCACCATCACCCTCTGTACGAGACCTGACGAGATCCAACATTTGCCCCCATTCAATCTGTATTGAGAGCAGCTGCATGCTGTTTCTTGGGATATTTATCAGCGTGGGTGCCACCTTCAGGCAGCTTTTCATGATCCTGCATTTAATTTAAACAGTGGAGTACAGTTCAGTAAGTCAAACTCGCAGAGCCCTGTTTAGATTGTAAAGACTCTTGGAGTGAGCAGAGGAGGTGACCATGTCTACTGTGAGTCCGTACTTACAGTTCGTACGTTACAGGCTGAGAGCATAACTAGCATGCAGGTAGCTAGCAGGATTAAAACTCCTCATGGTGAAAACAGATGGGACTGAAAGAGCTGCACACTAACTGCACATCATCACATAGGAAGACATTTAAACCATTTCCCCTCTGGGAGACAAAACAGACTGAGACGTATAGACCAGATTAAACATTTCTTTCTGAGAGATTTGAGGTACTTCCTGGTCGGGCTAAACCTTTCTGATTGGTCACGCACTTCAGCAGCATTCAGAAGTAGTTCAACGTTCTGGATGCGTTGGCATACCATGCATTAATATTTATAACACTCTGAAGAGGACGTGCCTGTCACTTTCACCATTACACACCAGTAAGCACAGGATTATATAACAGGAGAGAGTGCACGAGGTAAACAATAAGAAATCATCGTTACACTGGGTTTCAGGTGATGTGTGTTAATACGCTGTCAGAGAATTCTGCAGCTGAGGGGATTCTTATTGATTGGAGAAAAATGTCATAGATCAGAGTTTTTACAACACTGCTTTGCATGTTTATTTAACAATAACAGTGTCTGAGGGGTTCTCTGAATCGGCCGATACTCGAGTCTAGATATCAAAAATGCTCTCTGAACATCTTAAGTCTTTAGACCTCTGTTCTAAATGCAGACAACAATGTGCTGGGGGAACCTTTTAGTGCCTTCAGCAGTCTAAAAGTTCCTGGTTCTTTAGGTGGAAACGCAGCTTTATTGTTGTTGCACTCGAGCTAGATCCATTCCGATACAAGTGCCTCCCCATCAGCCCACCCAGTGTGCATAAACTGGCCCTGATTGAAGTTGACAGCCACCAAATAAATAAGCTCAATGAAGCCGCGGACATAATACACTTGGCACATGTCACTTGTGGTTATTGATCGCTCCCGTGAAGCAAGGTCCCAGTGGACCACCGGGCTGAGCCTCCTCCAGATCAGCATCTCTGCTGGGAGCCAAGAAAGCATCCACACACACCAGCACAACAACACAGCGATGACACACACGCAGCCCAAGGACAAACACCGCAGCAAAGAGCCTGCAGATATTTCACAGGGGAGGAGGAAGGTGTAAGTCGCTCAGCCAGGGATAATGTATACTCTCTCCTCAGACTTTATGTGACTGTATCTGTCTGATGATTAAATGTCTGCTGTCAAGAACAGAGAGCTGCTGATGCTGGAAGAGAAACACAGCTTTGATAGTGTGAGTCTAGGTGTGTGTCTATGTGTGTGTGTGTGTGCAGGCTCAAGGCAGATCTTGGAGGGGAGAATGTGAGCTTCACCCTGAGAGAAACCCCTCAGTTAGCTCCTCAGTAATTTTATTTATGCTGTGAAATGTTCCACTAAAGTGCTTCGTGATTGATCGCACACACCGAAGTCGTCTCCTGCAGACTTATGAAAAAGCTCCGTAATTCAGTTACCCTCCCCTCGGTTTGTTTTGATATTCCCGCAGTTTTATTTCATCTTACATAACCCGCGCCTCATGATGAATGGCCTAATATTACTCACAGATATTGTTCTCACATAATGAAGTTTCTCCTCCTCCTTCCTGAAAGTTTTCTGCTTCGTTCTGACGCTGTGTGTGTGATGCAGGATGTGTAACCATGCTCCTAACCCCCTCGCTGTCTCTCTCTTTGCTTCCGCTTCTGGTTCCAGAGGAGCCGAGAGCTTGTTAGCGTTTCTCCTCACAATGCTGTCTGAGCGTTCAAGGTACACAGTCAGTCAAAGTCAACCCTGTGGTGGCCCTGATCTAACCCAGCCTGCTCCCCCACACAACCCCCCCCAGCCCCCCCCCCTTTCTTTATCCCTCTGTCTCAGACCACTGCCCCACCCGTCTGAAGTGTGAGTCCTGCCATGTGGCACATGCTGAGAGTGGAGGACGGCTAGCTGTGCATCACTGCTCTTGACATTTCTGCTGTATCTCCTGCAGAATCCCACCGCTGTGCCCCAGCCACGATACGTCCTCCTGTTAGACCCTCATAACCCACATACCCTCTGATCCCTGTAGTTATGTTTCCATGGTGAATTTCATCCTTTTTATGTGAATTTCTAAAATTTCTGTAAATAAAATCCAATCGGAGCATGTCTCTGGGAATGCATCAAACAGAATCACGTCATCATATCAGTAACATATGCCAAGATTTCATCCCGCTTCCCACTGAAAATAAATGAATTTGTGTTTTCTGCTCACGCTGGTGATTCAGCTGTGATAGTTACAAAGACGGGGTTACATGCAGAAAGCAACCTAGTCTGGGTTCATTGCTCCATGCATCCCTCCTCTCTTCCCTTTCTCTCAACTTTCTGGTATCTCTGGTGCCGTTACCACACATGTATTTCGGACTTGGCTGCCATATTGCAAAAAAAAACGGTAACCGTAGTGTCTCTGAGGTCACCATCTCACAGACAAACAAACATGTCTCCTGGTGTGGCTCCTCTCTGGCCTTGTGTAACAGTTCTCATGACTCCTCTGTTGTTGTTGTTGTTGTTTGAACACTTCCTCAAATCCTTGGTTTACACTTTTTGTCTGAATGCTATTTCTGTCTTAACCCCTTTTTTCCTTCCTACCTTCCTTCCTTCCTGCCTCTCTTTTCCTCTCACAGTGCTTGGCTTCTCCTCACTCTCTTTCATCTTTAGCTTAGCCGAGTGATTTGTGACACGCTGGGATTTGAAATAGATTCTCTCTCCTAACCCTGTTGTCCTTGGTTCACCTGAGCAGCATGGTGCAGGGAGGCACCTGCTGTCGGCATGCTAAGACGGATCCCCCTGAACCCCTTGTGTGATACTGACATTCTTCTCTAAATAGCTGGACCAGAGTTGGAAGGCCCTCGCAGATTGTGTCTTTCAATACGTCTCTGATGAGTCGTGCTTTTCTGTGCCCTCTGTGTCGTCTGCAGGCAGCTGTACGCGCAGGAGGCCTGCAGGAGTCAGGCTGCAGAGCGGGACGGAAATTCACTGCAGAGACTCTCAAAGGAAGAGTACGTGAAAATGATGCTGCCGGGGAGTCCTCCAGGAGAAGACGGGAGTCGGAAGGTGAGGTCACTGTAACTGTTTTACCGTTTGACCTTTAAATAGCATAAGGTTCTTATCAACAGTCATGGTCTTAAGCATGGCTGCTTTCGGAGAAGAAGACTGAAGTACAGAGGAAAAGAACTAAGCTAAGTAAAGCTGAGGCTTTAAAAACATGCTTTTACCACTTTAAGTCCAATTTAGAATATTTAAAGGAGCAGTATGTAACTGTGTCACCTAGTGTTTAAAATGGGTACTGCAGTCTAAATTCTAAACATTGTAGAGAGGTGTGTGGGGGTGTCTTAAAACCGCCTACCTTCTCTGGTCCAAACAAATCCAGAGCATTCAGGACCAGAATCTAAAATTAGAGGGAGGACATACTAGCTTCACATTTACTAATACCTGCTATAAAAGAGGCTTTTCCTCCTGTATGAGTGTCGTGGTCACCTTAAGGGTTCTGACGAGTGATGTCACTCAGCTGTGGCTAGCTGCACTGAGTGTAAACATCAACGCTGAAACAACATCGAGGCTGTAGTGATCATTCTTCTGAGGAGAATAATGAACGTTTATAACAAAGTGCCTAAAGAGAGGGCTTTCTGAACACAAGGGGACATGGTCACATATTCTAAGTGCAGTGTGCACCGGGTCTGTTTTCCAGCCAGCTGCTCTGCTGACCGCCATTTACTGTAGGTAATAAAATGTGTATTGATAAGAAAGCCGACTTCCCTCCAAACTATCCCTTAAGGCTCTTTCATCCTGCCGACTAACAGGTCAAGAATATACAAGTCCAGACTGGCAGCAGATAACCTCTTGCTGGGAAACAAGTCATGTCAGACAGACATCTGCTGCCTATCAGCTGATCTCCTCCAACACAAAACCCTTTCAGTCCCCATTGACTGGCACCGAGTGTTTGGCTAATTTAATTTGGAGCAGGGCTGGGTTTGCTCAGTCGGGATGTCAAGGATTAAAGGCAGGGAGTGCATCGATGTTTAATGTACTGGGTCCTGCAGACTCTATTAATTGCATCTTCAGTCCTGCACGCGCCAACCCTCCTCCCTCCCCTCCAATCCCCTGATCCATTATCCACAAAGAAGCGACCCTGGAGACGTACAAACCGTCTATTTTTGGATGCTGCTCAACTCTGATATAAATGCACTTTATCCCTGCTGCAGCCGGGCATGTCCTCTGGCACGGGCGGGCATCGTCCCCAACATGAGGCTACTATCAGGCTGTCCTGCTAGAGCACTGATCTTACTGTATAGAAAATGTTCTGCTTACAATAGAGCTAGCATCAGTGCATTTAAATAAAAGACGGTCTATCAGGCCCGCTGTCATTTCCCTTCATTGGGCGCAGGTTTGTTTCCCACAGAGAAGCAGAGCGCAGTAACCAGAACAAAGGTGCAGAGTGCTGCTCGATGTCTTTGTTGTAATCGTGCTCTCATGTCTGATGATACAGTGTGTGTGGAAAAGCAATCTGAGAGAGAGAGAGATGCATGAGAGGGCACAGCTCCAAACATTACACCTCACAGTGCACACATCTGATCCCAATGAAAGCATACTGCTTTGCTCGGAGACTGCATGTTTTCAATCATCGGCTGGCAAGGACAGGAATCAAATTACAGTAATGACAATGTTGGAAACATCCGAGATGTATTCCTCATTTAATGCAGTCTGGCTGGTTTCATCTCCTAAGTGATTAAACAGACTCTACTACGCTAAAGGTTAATGCGTGTGTCACTTCCGGCGGTCATCCGATGCCTTTGTGTGGGCGAGCAGGTGCAGGGAGATTTTCCTCGCCAGCCACCGTGTCTGCTGGGACGTCCTTCCACAGACAGGCGGACTATTGTGTGTCTGACGTAAAAGGAAAGGCAGTTCACAGCTTATTCTCCCACAACGTTTCTCTTTTTGATCCTCCTGTGCTTGAGAAGAGAGCGGCTGAATAGGTGGTTGTCTGACACATCCTCCCCAGTGGCCCGTCAAAGGTTCTTCAGCGCTGGTTGTTGTCTTTGTTCAGAGCGGGCAGCGAGGGGGAAAAAGTCAGGGAAATCAGGGAAAAAAATCTCTGAGCGTTTGTCAGTGCTGCTTGGACTGATAAGAGCGTTTCTGTTGTACTAAGGAATTCAGACACATTAGAGCCAGATTCACGCTGAGAGCCGCTGCCAGCTGAGGTGGATTCAGACAGAAATAGTCGTAAATCTCGCAGGTTTGATACATCAAATATTTTCACTTTAATGTGCTCAGCATGGCTCCCTTAAAGAGTGCCGAGATAGAGAGAGGGGGGGGAAGAGAGAGGGTTTGATGCTGCTGATGAAATAAATAGCACAGCTCCTGAAAAAATATTAACCGGTTTCATTTGCCGTGACTCCCTTTATTGGAGCTCTAAATCAGAGCTATTTCTGCTCGACATGAGAGAGCAGCACATCCCGTTTCAAGTTGTTTTGATGGGCGCAGGTCTAATCTTGTAAAAGTGCAATAAGAGACGCACTTGTTAAGTTTTCCGAGATGTTCAGTGTGGATGTGTGCAGCTTTGGATTCCTGCGCGTGTGTCTTTAAAGACGGCGTTTAGATGTTTGTTAAGTTTGCACGCTGGGGTTTGTGGGGGGATCCGTCTTTGAAAGTGAGACGGCTGGGTGTTGGCTCGTGGGGACAGCAGTGTAGTTTGGGTTACAGCTGGAAGCCGTAGGTAGACATTAACCCATCTGGCCATCTGCCCCCGTATATCATTAGTGGTGTTTTTGATGTCACTTGTGCAATATTTATGCAAGCTGACGGGGACAGTGATGGATTGCATCGGTCTTTGTGGGTTTGTGTGTTTGAACAAGAGATCTTCTGTCAAAAATCTGACCAACGTCTCATGAAGTGGAGAATCTCTGCAGCGTTATTCTGTGCGATTGTTCACAGACGACTTCCCCTGCAGGAGGACGCTGCTTTCAAACACTCAGCAGCTTTTGTGATCCTGACCTCGTGTTGCCCTTTCCCCTCTGCATCTCCTTACCCTGACCTCTATATGAACCCTCTCTGAAGAGTGTACACGAAGCGGAAACGATCTTTGTATGAGATCATTATAAAAACATCAAACTAAACGTTCCACTGAGTCTGTTTTATGATAAGATAAAATACCATCATATCTGGTGTATAGGACTCACTCTCAGTACCTTTTAGTCCTCTAAGAAGTGCGACCAATATACGGGTAAAATAAATACTGACAAACACGCCGTCATTACCCAGAGTGAATCCACCACCATCGCTCAATGCACATAATTCAATTCAATTAAATTCAAAGCTTTATTGTCATGTAGTTGTACATACAACAGTCGTGCAAGCACAATGTGAGAGCGTTTCTCAACAGGAGAAACGCAATAAGACACAATTAAAATACACACACACACACAAACACATAACACACACACATGGCCTACATCCCATTGTTCTCTGTGTAATATGTCCATAACAGCCTGTGAATGAGGTGCTAGTGACTGTGATCCCTGAGATATTTAAAATATAAAACAAAAACTAAGGCTAAGCCTGAAGTGACCTGAAATGTTTGAAAACTCACTTCTGTTCATTGTTGCTTGCACGTTGTGAGGATACACAACGACGCAGATCCGGCTGGCAGTGCCAAAAGGGCCGAAGCTTTTTCCAAAATGTTGGCAGCGTGTTTGTGAAATGTAGACTGTGTGTAGGAGGTCGGTGAGTTTGAATCTTATTTTTGTTGCTGTGATATCTGAACAGGTCTCTCCATATCGTTTGAATTTTACTTGAGTCGTATCAAAGTTTACAATTCTTGTATCTTAATAACCTTGAGTTTCGCTGAGTCCTCTACTCTCGCTGTCTTTTCTCACACTCAGCTCGATGACTCTCAGCTGTTCTCGGTCCAGTGACCTCTGTCACCACCTCCACACACCCTGTCCCCCGTCTCTCCCCTGTCTCTCCCCCATCTCTCCCGCTTTGCCAGACTCTCCAGCTGTGCTCGAATCCATCTGCATTTTCCTCAGAGCAGAGTCTGTAATTGATTCCTGACAACGCTCCCCGATGTTCCCCGTCTGTAGACCTGCTGTGTCGAGGAGAGGAAGCAGCAGATGACGGGGTCATCGCTGGTTGTTTGGAGGTCATTCAGCTTCATCATCTCTCACTCCTGACAGATTGCTCTTCCTGTCTTCCTCTCAGGTGTCAGCGATGGACAGTCTGTCCCCGAGGCGCTCTCTGTATCGGACGCTGTCAGACGAGAGCGTGTGCAGTAACCGTAAGGGCTCGTCCTACGCCAGCTCCCACAGCTCCATGCTGGACCAGGCCATGCCCAACGACATCCTCTTCAGCACCACCCCCCCTTACCACAGCACGCTGCCTCCACGTATGGTCCACAACCAGGGGGCGTCAAACCTGCGCAGTAAGTACAGACGCTAACTCTCCCTCGGCTGAGAAACACTTTGAACCTGTTTACACCCGGTGTCAACACGCAGCCTGGCTGATCTTGAAATAAGTGGACAGATCTACGTACAGCTGTTTACACCTGGCACATGAACGTGTCTCCAGATGTGTCTTTAGTGGTCGTATTAACGCTCTACATGCTCAGAAACAGGTAACATGTCACCTTCATTGGCTGATAAATTAACATAATGAGATGTAAAAAGGTAATGCAGACTCACAGCCAAAAGCGAGCTTGTTCAGGAAAGACAGAGAGAGCGGATAAATGCGTCAGAACGTTTGGATGTGTCTTAAATCGTCAAGCTTTATGTTCCTTTATTATGTGGAACATAAATAAAGTGGTTTGAAAGAGAAGTTTATAAACCCCCCCCTGCAGATGTGAGTCTCTGTAAACCGGACTGACAGATGTTATAAACACTCTCCTTCTCTGAAGTCAGTGACTGTGACCGACTACAGCTGAGTATAATAACTGCAGCAGTAAGGGTCAAACAGTTCTCATATTAGTGTTCATAACTTCAGGGTTTCCCCCAAAGCTTCCCCAGCTTCTGATGCTGAATATCAGCTAACATGTGATAGTAGAAAGTGTCGATCACTGTTCATTCAAAGTGATGTCAAAGACCTCAGATCTCAGACCTGTGACAGTGAGCTCTGACCTCTCCAGTCATTACATCAGTTCAGTGTTTTAATTTGTGCCAAAGAAAGAAGACAGAAGTAGACATGTCCAAACTAAATGCACGGGTGTGACAAAATAAATCTTCTTCCTGTTGACCAAATCGACAAAACAAGTAGGCGAGCAGCACACTGGTCGTATGTGGAACGTTGAAAACATGTTCAGCTCTACAGCTCTGTACATTCTGGCTGACACAGCGTAAACTGCGTCTCCTCGTCTGTGCAAAAAAATATGTTGTTCTCGCTCCAGCACTCGCCATGCTGGCTTTTTCCACACATTTAAACTGTTTTCACATCGGGGTCAAAGTGCAGCATGGCGACTGTGGAGCATGCTCAGAACACCTAGTCCAATTTGGGTCTGATTGAGTCGTAAACACGCAAAAGTAAACCGCACTATCTTCATGTACACCTGTTTAATAATACAATCAATAATAATACACACCTGTCCACTTGAGATCAGATCACATGTTAACACCAGGTGTAAACAGCGCAGACTTGACTTCTCTTAAAGGATTCTGCAGAGAAGCTTGTTTCAAGAAAAGCAATCAGAACTCTTATTAAAACATCTCTCAGAGACGGGGAGGCGGACCGTCTCAGCATGAAGCTCATGGATTATCATCCGTCCCCCGTGGCACCAGATAAGAGCCAGGATGTAGACACTCGTCTGAAGAGCCTCTCATGTCCTACCAATATCATTAGCACAACTGGTACTCACTCCAGAAACACTCCTCAATGCAGCCAGCTAATTGGACCTGGGCGAGGCGGAGAGAGCAGCTTGCTCTGGGCCTTGTCGGTGCGTCTGCATTAAGCAGACACCTGTCACCGCTGGCTGCTGCCTCTCCTCTGAATATGTATCTGTGATGAGCGCTGTGATGTGTCCTGCCTGCACCGCTGCAGCTCTGTAACATCTGTGACATGAACATGCCTATTTTTCCATCAGGAGAGTCACCACTTCTGTCACACATTATGTTTCATTCACTCATACGTCCCTGCCTGTCTCCCCCTCTCTCTGTCCCACCTGTCTCATTTCCATACCGCTCCTCATCCGTCTCCGGCTGCTGTTTGTTAGATAGAAAATGGCTTTTGGAAAAGATGTTTATCCCTTTAGCCTCTTCTGGCTGTCAGCCTGATGGATTCCCGATTGTTTTGAAGGGTAGTCGAGAACACAGGCGCTCTCTTTTTTTCTGACTGAAACAGTCCAATTTGGTAAACAGTGAATCACTCGGGCTCTGAGACGCTGCGTAAATTGAACAGAGAGTGTCAGCATCACCTCAAGCTCTCTCTGTCTCCTCTCCACTCCTCCACTCGTGCTTTTTCTAAACGCCTCTCTGCAGAACGGGGAGCTTGTTTATTGCGCTCGCTGTCTTTCAGGGCTGACAGGGAGGGGAGGCGGGGGAGACGGAGAGGAGGGAAAGAAGATATTGATTGAAACATGAAGACATTCACTTAGACAAGTCGTTTATCGCCCCTCAGACAGCAGCGCCAGGCGAGTGCTATGCGAGGTGGTTGTTTGCTGTCACATATACAGACCATAAAGTTAAATAGTTTGTCAGCTGTAGCCGGATCTGTTGTTTCCCTGCATCCTGAAGAGCTGGATTTGAGTCCAGGCTTTGATGGGAGGTACTTTAATTAGTGGAGACTCAAACTTTCAGGATGTTTGGTTAATATCCTCCTTTAAGGTAACAATGAGCAGTATGAAGAAACCTCCCTGCCCTCCCCCTCTACGCCTCTCAGTTCCTCCCCCGCCCCCTCCTTTCTGCTCTGATGGGTGACTCAGAGATTAGCCCTGAACTCATGGCCAGACTCAGACATTGATTGGAGTGCCCGCCTGTCTCTGCAGGTGAGTTTTGGTTCTCTGACGGCTCCTTGGCGGACAGGTCCAAGTTCAGCGACCCGGGCCTCATGCCCCTCCCAGACGCTGCCTCAGGCCTGGACTGGTCTCACCTGGTTGATGCAGCACGAGCCTTTGAAGGTAACCAGCCTGGCTGAAGCTGCTGACGCCTCGTGTAACCTCCCCCCCCACCTCCTCCTATAGCTGCTAAGCGTCTGTGTGTGTCTGTACGTCAATAATCTGCTAGTGCTAGCTTGCTTAGCTTGTAGATTTGTGTGCTCTTTGTGTGTGTGGTTCCTCTAGTGTCTCCTAAGTGCTGCAGTAGAACTTGTAGGAATCCTTCTTTGTTGTGCTCCAAGCCCCTTTGTGATCCCATTCAGCACCCTAACTCTAACGTTTGCAAGATGTCACTCTGGGAGAGTTCTGAAGCCCAGATCAGACCAAAGATTTGTGATGAAATAAAATTATTGAAGAACTTTATTTACAGATTCTGCATCAGAGGTTTGGGCCTGATTTAGTTCTGATTGTGTGTGTAGTCCGAGTAAAGTCGTCCAGCAGCGGGTCAGAGAGGATTTGCTGCTCAAAGGAGTGGAGAGCAAAAATGTTGCATTCTGCAGCAGAAACCCACTACACATCGGCAGTCCGCTAACAACGAGTTAGCTTTAATAAACGTCTCTTATCAGATATCTGCATGCGAGCACAGCGAACAGTCCGCTCTGAGCTCTGAGACGTTGTCTTTCAGCTACTACGAATATTCTCGCTTTGCAAGTTGCTGTCAGACTGTAAACGACGGCGCAAAGGTAATCTTGGCCAACACTTATCAAAATCAAAATGTTCTTTACTTTCGACATGATCTCCGTTATTTAAATGACTTAGAGCATCGGGGGGAAAACGAAGCTTAAAGAAAAACTTCCAAGGAGCATCGGGAGAGAGCACACTGTCTGAATTACACAAATAAGTTAGCAAGGTTTCACACTTTGCAAATATATTTGTGTAATTTAGACAGTGTGCAGGAGTTTGTCTGCAAATGACACTATTATGGCGGCCTAGGACTTGTGTTTCTGTTGCCGTGGTATCAAAGCAGGTGGCTAACTTCTGGCTACAAGCCTCAAAAAGATGACCATCTCTCCCAACTAAAATATATAACCATCAGATAGCCTTTGAAGGAAAATGTTGCAGCTGGTGAGCTAATCAAGTCTTTGATTGGTTTGAACGACCAATCAGCTCTTAGCAAAGTGAGCCTGTACAGACAGATTCAAACGATCAGCTGGTGGAAATGACAGAATGTTGGAGAACAACACTTCAGTTTGTTGGAGATGTTTTTCACACAAACCTTCAGCAGGATTTTTAAAAAAGCCGGTTTTGTCAGCTGTTCCTTTTTCAAATCAGCGTCTCCTCACCTGTTCATTGACTGATTAGAGAGCAGTGGCAGTCGTGTTAGCCCGGGACTGAATGATGCAGAGACTCAGGAATATAATACTTACTTTAATATTGTTAGAAAGCAGTTAAGCTCTTCAGCAGAGACAAACCCATTCACACCTCTGCACAGCTCGCTGGATGACCCCGCTCCTCTCCGCGCTCAGTGAAACAGATAAACAGAATCTGAAGCTCCATCAGTGACTCAGCTCATACCGTCTCTTGTTGTTGCATTGGTTTGAAGTTGCGGGAACGTGCAGGAGTTGTACGTTTGATCAGTCTTGTTGTGAATCTCGGGTCTGAACTCGCCTTAGCAGTGATGCCTCTTCACCATTGAGCTCTCAGGGTTGATAATCAGGGGGTCATGTTTTTCCTCCTTTGACCTCTTGTTGACACTCTGAATGTAGGTCGATGAAGAAGCTGGATCCTTTCAGATTACAAATGAAGCCGCCGCCTTTATGCTACGCTAATTAGCATGGACATGTCATAGCCACTTCATGGTCAGCATCATCATTTTGTGTTCATCTATCTCCCGGTTGAAGTTCTTCTCATGCCATCGTGTTTCCCATACATCAAGGAAACGCTCACATGCCACGAGATTCTTTTTCTTTCCACTTGAACTGCCTCTGACCCCGAGACCAGTGAGCAAGCAGCGTAGCATGTGACCGTTCATTTGTCATAATTAATGAATTCTCTGTACGCTTCCCTCTTTGATACGTTTGCTGCTGCATCGCCGGCAGCATATCATTTAAAAAGAAGTGGAATCAGTGGAGATGATGCAGAGTCTGACTGGCAGCAAGAAGGCAGTTGTCACGCAGGCTTGGCCCAGAAAAAGCGCTGTGTAAACTGGAGCCCTGTTGCCGAGCAGAAAGTGGCTCCAGGCTGACATTATGACGTGTGTGTGTGTGTGTGTGTGTGTGTGTGTGTGTGTGTGTGTGTTTAACCCGCTCTGTTTGGAGCCGAGGGGGAGAGAGAGAGAGAGAGGGAGAGAGAGACTGCCACAGACGTAAAGCTTTTATAGCTCCATAACCTTGTTCATGTGCGTCCTGAGAGACCGTTTGTGTTCAGGAGGCAAGAAGACGGTTTGGATCTACATTAAACACTCTGCCCTCCAGAGGTTTAAAGAGTAGAATCAGACGGAGTTATCAAAATATGCTTTGATGAATTAAAGCAGCAAAAAGATTTTATTTCAATCACTAAAATCGCTTTCTGTCAACTGCTGCAGTGTTGATAAGAGAGAGAGTTTACTCAAATTGATCGTCATGTCATCTTTTTGTTTGTTTGTTTTTATTTGTTTGTGCTCTAAATCTGGACATCAGGCCACGCACAAACGACGAGCTGCATCCCCTACTCTCCTCCAAGTCTTTAATCTTTCCGATGCAGCCATCAAATATGAGAAAGAAATCTCTCATTCATATGTAAATTAAAGCTCCGTCCCCCCGCCGCGTCTGAACAAGAAACTCGAAGGCTCCTTCAGCTTTTGTCTTGGGGTGGATTAGCTTTCATTTGGGGGCTAAATGAATGGACGGGTTTCCTTAATCTTTTCTATGAATATGCAGATTCATCTATCTTCTGTCTCAGACCGAAGGGGCTGCAGAGAGTAAAGGAAAAGAGCATTACGCCTTCAAACTGAGCAGTCCCCAAGTGAAACATGCCAACTTTGGGGTTTTCCATGGGGCTTTGAGCGAGCTTAAGGGCCTGATATGGTAAAACAAGCATGACTGCTGCCTCTCAGCTCTGTGGGATCCAGACCATTATGAGCCAAACAGCTGTCAGAGGAAGCTCGGGGGGGGGCAGGGCACCGGAGCTACACCCGAGGGAGCGACTTTATCTGTCGAGAAAAGTTCTGTGTACCACCTTGTTCCTTTTGTTCTGCGTATCGATCTCTCTGTGTGAGACGATTGTCTTTAAACTGAAGCACTGATTCATAAGAAGCATGAATGAAGCACCTCATCCTGTCTGTGAAGCATGCTGTGTGTTGTTCTGCTCCTTTTAGCTGCATGTTGTCACCATGAAATGCATTGCTGAACACTCGTCTTTGTTTTGATGCTGAAGGCGAGCAGATTATGACCATGTGACGTCTCCCGTTCTGTCTGCAGACCAGCGCGTGGCGTCCTTCTGCACCATGACGGACATGCAGCGGGCCGAGGCTCTGCACATCTCCAGAGAGCTGACCAGACGGGTGGTGGAGGCGGAGGGAGCAGCGCTGGAAGCAGAGTAGGCGTTACACACAAACACAAACACTCAAGAATCAGCAGTGAGGAACTCAGAGCTTCATACTTCATCCTAGAGGGAGCAAAAGAGTTTACAATAAAGTCGCAGCTCTGTCCCGCTCCCTGCATGGTTGGGAAAAGTTTAAAGGTCCAATCATTAAGATATCTACTGAATGAAATGATAAAGGTATCTTACTATATGATCAGACATTAAGGAAACATGTTATGTTGAAGTGCTGGCTTCTCTGACAACAATGCAGCAGCCAGTATGTCCTCCTTCTAACTTTAGATTCTGCTCCTGAATGCTCTGGATTTGTTTGGACCAGCGAAGGCAGGCGCTTTTAAGGCGCTCCCGCACGGCCGTTTTAGACGCCCCTCGGTTTGCCAGATATGAGACCAGTTAAACAGTTCACGATGATAGATTTGTATTTTTAAAATGTCATAAAAAATTGAGTAAATTTCAGATTTCAGAGAACCCAAACAAGAACGTCTTTCACCTTTTGGCTCGAAAAATCACAAATTTAGTTCGTCCATATTTGACTGTTGATATTCTTTTCAGCAATTCATCCGTCCTGTTCAGACTGCTGCTTCAAACCGCGTTTTTTAGGTCTGTGATGTTTCACCTTTAGTATGAATGTTAAAAAGGCGTACTGGGGGGACAATGTGATCTCACCTCTGTACTGTCTACAGAGAGCAGAACTTTTATATCATATTTGATCATATGCTTCTTGTTTCTAAACAAAATCAGCTTGAAAAATTAGGTCTGCCAGCATTTAGTGCAAGTATTGACTTCTGGTAGCGAAGCAGAGGTGATTCTAGTCAGCTGCCAACAATCCTCCTCTCAGAGAACAAAATCCAGCTTCTCCTGCTAGAAATGGAAACGCTGCTTAACGTGTTAATGCCTCTTAAAAGTTCCTAACACTTAGGATGTCGTGTTCCCTGCACAAACAGACAGGCCACAGTAACTGAAGAGGTCGGGGGTTTATCTAAATGTTCACTTCCAGGTTCTGTATGGAGGAAGACTTTGTGTTTTTATTACAGTTTCTGAGTTTGTAACAAATCCTCTTTTCTGTTCCCTGACAGAAGCTCTCCCTCCACGCTCACCGGCAAAGTGAACCAGCTGGAGGTGATCCTCAGACAGCTGCAGCACGACCTCAGAAAGGTGCGGAACTATTTTCTTTATTACGTCTTTGTCACCTTTATACTTCTTTTTTTTTTTATGTCAGCGAACTCAGATGTGTGTCCCAGCTCCGGAGAATAAGCATTGAGTAATGTGCACCCCGAGGTCTGTGTAATACAAACTCATCCACTTAATTCAATATCCTGCTTCCTTTCCTTATTGTTTCCCAGCCCAACATCCCCCCCCCCCTCCCGCCTAATGTGCTTAAAAGAGGGAGGAAATGCACTTTTATCAGAGCAGAGAATAGGCTGCTTTGCCATGTTAATGCCTCCCTTTTACACAACGCTGACGAGAGGCGGATGTTCTCTTAATAGCGGTCCTTTTATCAACCTCCTCTGTGTTCTTTTCTTTTTGCCTCATGTCCTGTTGTCGAGTGTGTGTGCGTGTGTGTGTGTGTATTTGTGTGTAATGCATCCCTGACCTCCCTCCATAGCAAGACGAGTACAGAAGTGCCATATTGATTTTCCTGCGGCTGACTGATTAAACTTCTCTTGTTCAGTAACTGTTCATTCACCTCTAATGATATGTTTGAAGTTCCATTATTCAGCGTTTAAAAACTGTCTGTCACGCTTTATTTTGGATTTTTTACTGTCTCGAGCAAAGGTACTTTATTTCCTGAAAAATATCCTGGGTGAACCCGAGGAAGCTACAGGCGAGACGCTTTGTTCTCTCACGATAAAGTGACAGTAAAGTGCCACGCTTTATTGATTTATTGTTTCATAGTCTGTTCCTGCAACCGACGACCCCTAAGAACATAGCTGGCTGTGCACGGGGTACCATGTTGGTCTATTACTTTTTTTTAAAATCCCTTCCTGTAGAGTGTAGGTTAGGACATGAAGCTCAGACACAGGAAGTGGTTAGGGATCCCAAACAGCTCAAAGGGACAGTAACAAAGGTCAATGTGTGATGTCATAAGGTGGATATTACTTTGGACTCATCAGCTGAGCTGTCTGAGAGTTTGTTAAAGGCGTACAGGTGTTATTTTCCATCTCTGCGGCTGCAGGAAGACTTAACTACGGTGCGGTGATGTGGAAATGAATGCAATTTTTGCTTTCATTTCTTGACCATAATCTCATTATGGTTATTGTGTTAACGCTGACAACCCTTCTCCATTTAAGTCCAGGTCACCTGGATTTACATTTGCATATAGCTAGAGGTATATAAGCACTTATTCCTGACCAGTTTTACTGCTGAACAGGATTGCTAAGATTGGTTGGACTCTTTTATGCAATGACACTAAAGCTCCTCTCTCTGTGTCTCTGCAGGAGAAGGAGGACAAGGCGATGCTGCAGGAGGAGGTGCAGCACCTGAGACAGGACAACATGCGGCTCCAGACGGAGAGCCAGACGGCGGCGGCTCAGCTCAGGAAGTTCACAGAGTGGTTCTTTCACTCTATTGACAAGAAACCCTGAGAGAGAGGAAGAGAGAGGGAGAGAGAGAGCGCGAGAGAGAGAGCGCGAGAGAGAGAGCCGCTGAATGAAAGATGGAAAGAGAGAGAGAAAGCTGCAGCGAGAGAGAGAAACAGAGATGGCCTTCACTCCTCCTGGGCTCCCACTCAAATTCTACTTAAGACTCCCAGACGATCCGAACTTTAAAAGGAAACCTTACCGGCCCCCAGACTCTTTAAAAAAGCCCCGGCTCAGGAGACTCTAGTGCAGCCCTGTGTGGTGGAACTGAAACCCTGATCTTGTACCTCTGTTTTTGGGATCCTCTCCAGTCTGAACTGCAGGGCTGTTTCTGACGTTAACGGTTTCTCCATCCCGGCAAACGAGACTCTTGGGAAACCTCCTCATCTCCAGCGCCAGGGAGAGGAATCGAGCACGGCAGCCCCCAGGGGCCCCCGCTGGAGTCCCTGGGATCTTCTTACAGTAGTGGAATGTAAAGCTCATTTACTGTAGTCAACATTTAATCTACCTACGTATGTCCCGTCAGTCTACTGTACTGTATTCTCAGCTGTACTGTATCATACTGCGCACACTGTCACACAGCTGTTTCTGTGCAGAGAGGGGGAGGGGGGAAGGGGCGAGGAGGGGAGGAATGTACTGGACTAAATGAAGTGGTACTTACTGTCTGCTTGCACCAAGAGGAATCCACATGTGGCGGTCTTGAAACGTACAGCGGGAGGTAAAAAATGAATGTAGCTCAACTGAGACCCTTTTCTTTCTGGATTCCCAAAGTCACAAGTGATTCACGTTTCTGAAGCTCTGGGCCACGTCGTCATTGATTGGTTGATTCCACTTCTTTCCTTTTTTTCCTCAGTGTTGTAACGTAGGGTCACACGGCAGTAATTCTTTGGTGTTTTTTAAAGGTGCTTTTCCCTACACACGTTTGTCAGTAGTTTCCATTCACTGTCACAATGTCCTAGCAATAACAAAGTGGTAGTTTGAAACTGTGTTCAAAAAAAAAAAGAAGAAAAAGAAAAAACGAAGTTAGCACAAGCGTGAAGAGTTCCTGTGGAGAAGCAGTCGTACTTGACGTGTATTTATAAAACAGGAAACAGACTGTGCCTAAAACTCTCGGTTGTAAATGGATTGTTTCTTTTTGCTTTTATTTCTCTTTTATAAACACATGCCTTGTCTGTGGCTCACTGATATAAAGTTGTGTGTGTGTGTGTGTGTGTGTGTGTGAATGTGTGTGTGCGTGAGTGTGCGTAGGTTATCACAGCTAAACGTGTTCTTATGCAGTGGTTTCTAGAGCATTAGAGCAGGCGCCAGTGAACCACACTTACAATGCCAAATGTGTTTATTTGTGTACATATTTGCCACAGAAGTGTCTTGTATTTAACACTTTAATTTAAGCTTATTTAACCTAAAGTTGTTTATTTTATTAAGGGTATTTGTTTGGTTCTGCACTAAGGAGAGATACAGCTCTGTGTATGTTGTAAAGTGTGTAGCTTGCCAGGGCAACAAAACTATATATTTAAATATATAAATGATGATTTTTTGGAGATTCCAACATTTGGATGCTGCTAGATTACAGTTTGCTGGTTTGTATGCTTTTAAAAATGTCTCTCTCTGTAAACGGTCTCCTCCCGGGTGGGACACTGGTTGCTTTACTTGTTTTTGTTCTACTTTTTGTTCATGTTTTTTTTTAAATAAATGTAGTTGGAAAAATAAGTGATGTTTCTCCTTGCCTTTCTTTAATGTTGACCTTTTCTGCTGATCCATTTTAAATGTGGGCAAAGTTTCAAATCATGGGGTGGCTGTGTCTCAGTTGATAGAGTCAGTGGTCTATCAACCGGAAGTTTGGGGTTCGATCCCCAGCTCCTGCAGCTCCATGTCCGATGTGTCCTTGGGCAAGACACTTAACCCCAAGTTGCTCCCGCTGCTTTGTTGGTGGTGTATGAATGTGTATGAATGGATTAGTTACTTCTGATGGACTCTTTACTCAGCAGCCTCTACCATCAGGGTGTGAATGTGTAGGTGTGACCTGCGGTGTAAAAGCGCTTTGAGTCGTCAGAAGACTAGAAAAGAGATATACAAGCTCAAGTCCATTTACCTTCATGAGGTAAACTAGTATGTTGGTTTAACGGCTTGTTCTGCAAATTACTCGATAGTTCCCCAAAATTAAACGATGAATTTCACAATTCAAAAGCTTCAAGCCTCTACGTAAGCCGTTGAAATCTTTTCCATAGGCTCTCTTCTCCCAGCACTGGAGAGCAGCCCTCCTCTGGCAATCCTGCAGCGTTCTGCCCATAGACTAAAAATAGAAATGGACGAAGCCTGAGTGACGTCTGTTCGTGCAGGGGAGGCATGGCGGTCTCCATGCTGGAAATGCTGTCTCACCCTAACTTTCAGTCAACCTAACGACAGACTGAGAGCTGGAGCTGAGGCGGGTTTTAGGACATGTCCACCCCAGCAGCTCTTTCAAGGACATGCCCCCCCTGAAGTTCACCTAAATGTCCCTAAACTAACCTTTATGTGTACAGGGTCTATACATTTTAACGTATTTACAAATCTTCCCTTTAAATCACTTTGATAACTTCTACTATTTTGGTCACAACTGCAATAGAGCGACATCAGAGGGACTAAAGATGTCGGAAAAAGACATCAAAATAGGATATAAAAATATAGTTAAAAGTTTCAGAGGAGAGCTCTGCAGGTGGAATAAAAGATGGACTTCTTGTAAGCCAGTTCATCCCTGTTCTCCAGGCGTACACACACACATGCTAATTTAAGAAAGAACATTTGTTGAGCTCCCGCAGGAAGATAACAACCTTTTCTGTGAATCTTTTCATCCTCTATTTTGTAAACAGCAGGTGTGCTAAGACTTTAGACTGGAAACAGGAAGCTATAATGTGTTTGTGACTTGATTCTCTGGGAGTTGCTGTTTTTTTAAAAAGAAATGACAGATGTGGATTTCACCACAGGGACGACAGAGGACTCACTGAATAATTAATCAGAAGCCTTTGTTTGGGGATTGTTTGCAACTCCCAGCATTAAGTTTCTGCTCAGCTGCTACAGTGCTCCAATCTAGGATCTTCACAGTGGAGATTCTGTTCTGTTGTGGTCCTAGGCAAAAATAAGGAGGGAGGCCCTCCAACCGTCATCATCATTAAGTCTGCTAGTGTCCCAACGCTAACACCTCTTCCTCTTTTTTTTGTTTCCTGTAGACGGAAAATTCCTCTTTGTTTTTATTCGTTTTCTATAATGTTCAATATTTATACAGTTAACCTAGCATATCTTCATTTATAAAAAAAAACAAATGAAATCCCCTCCCCAAAAACAAAAAATCTTGTGCGATCAAAATCATTATTTGTCAGCCTATTTATGGGGATTTTTATTGGGACTTCCGTGGCTTACCATGATCAGATCTACTTAATCTAATTACTAAAATGACTAAAATATAATATTATTTTTCTCTGGGGATACTGGAGACATTTCCGTTAATTGTTGCTCTTTGTTTTTTAAATAAACTTCATACACAAAATGTTACTCAACAGGTTTTTAACAGCAGTAAGTAACAATGCACTGCATCCACAAATACAGACATTTTAATCAAATGGATCAAAATAAGGTGAACAATCAAAATGATCTGAAATAAAGTTTAGATTTAGTAATTAATCACAAAAGCAAAAGCATCAGTTTCCGTAGTTTATTCAAGTTTTGATTGATGCTTTGTGTCATTCCAGTCTGCTAGCTTAATATGTACAAATACAACAAGACAAACAAACAGTTACTCTACGATGTTAGATCCTGGGATTTACGCTAAATGTGCAATAAACTAAATTAACGACAATGACTTTGTGTGTTCTAGTGTTTTAGAGCTAACTGTCTGATTATGGAGGGAGAGTGGAGGCTTAACGAACTGCTAACTCTTGAAATGAGGATGCTAATTGCTAACGTAATGGAGGACGCCGTGGTTGTGTGCCATACATGGCGAATAATGATGATGACGGGGATGAAGACTGAGACGGTCAGAACAAGCGACGCTAGCTGAAGCTAACTGGCAAGAGCGAGCTTAGCAGTGACTGCTCATTGTGGTCTCCATGGTTACCTTGGCGGACTTATAGATACAGTAAAACTCTGCAGATGCTTTTTGTGGTGACTTTGATTAGTATTTTGGTTGATGTTACTTTGTTAAAGTTTGGTTCAGATTGCATTCAAAGTTTACAAACATTCATTCATCTTTAAATCTCGTTTTTTAGTAGCCTAATCATATTTGTTATTGTTGTTTTGAAGGGTGTTGAAGCTAGCCACTACTAGCTTGTTGTTTTCAATGTCTTCTGCATCTGCAAGGTTTGTGTCTGAGGTTAAATTGAGATGAAGATCGAGGCTATGCCAGGTAAATATAGATTTAGAGCACCATTCATACATGGGCTAGTAACCCCCAGTGCTTTACACAGTTTAATATCAGAGCATTAAGTAACAAAATATATTAAAATATAATCATATTATCACCTTTTAATGGTTAAATGAAAACAACATTTCTGCTTAGGCAATAGTATTTTTCTCCTCGGGTCACTTTCTAACACACAAAATACAAGAAAAATGTTTAAAACAACATTGTAGGAATTTGACCAGGTGGCTTGTGCGGCCACCGAAAGACATCTCAGTGTGTTCTGAATTATATCTGCAGGGATGGACACTCTGCTTCTCGCTCACTCTCTCTCTCTTTCTCTTCTTAGCTTCATCCGTCTCCCTCCTCGTCCTCTTAGCCTCAGCCGTTATATCAAACAGTACAGAGACGGGCTAACTGGCTAGTAACGTAAATCTGTACACTTCTTGAGAGACAACTGCGGCCCGCTGCCAAACTTAGATTGTGGTGACCGAGGCGCTCTGTGGACATGAGAGCCTGTTTAAAGTTGCTGGTCTACTAAATCAACTTTGAAACTACCATTTAATGTGGACAAGTTGTTGTTGCTTTAAGTTATGTAGTCAGTAGTTGCACGTATTTGTTTGTGCAGGACCTTAAATCCAGAAGTTGTTTTCTGAACTTGTTTAAATAAAGTCGACCACTTCATGATGGAAGAAGAAGGTTATGTTACAAGGCTTACTTTGACCTCTGCAACTCCACACTACAACTCCCTGTGTGTGTGGACGTGTGGAGTGTTTGTGCATTAGTGTGTGGACGAGCTCTGGGTTTGGCCGGCGTGCAGTGAGATGAGATAGTTAATCTACATGTGTGTGCACGCTGCCAGGACAGCAGATGGGAGCTCATGCTGGCACAAGGCGAAAGTGTGGCCTGTTTCAGATGGAGGAGGATTCCAGGGTTTGTTGTGGAGGATGCGATCAGGAGTTTGAGCACTAAAGAGAGGAGCCAAATGGTTTCAGCATCAGCGAAACCTGGCGGAGTATCATGGACAGAGGTCGGGTCAGCAGCAGAGAGTGAGGAGGGAGAAAATATAATCCAATACTACAATGACATGTAGAGTTTTATTAGCCTTCAAAATATGCTGACAGGCAGTAAAGTTAGACCCCATCCAATTTATTTGAAATCTCTTCTAACCAGATAGAAGAGCTTACAATCACGCACCCTGTATTGATTTCTAATATTGGGGCCGTGTCAGCAGTTGAAGGAATAAACGCTGGAGTCTCTCCACGGCTCAGGAGTGACGGTCACCCACAACTACACACAAGTCTGTGCTCATCAAATGTAATAGCATGTGACTGGGACACAGTTGTCATGCTTCCACAGTCCCAGAGCAGATGCTCCCCTGCTGTGAGTGCCACCCCAGTAAGGATCACATTACCCAGAATTAGTGTTCAGTGTGCCCAAAGCACAGCTGGCACAGCTCAGAGGGAGGGGGGGAGATATCGACTGTATGTGAAGGTCAGTCTGTAGTAACTGCTGGCAAAATATCAAATATCAGTATCACTTTCTTGAAACAATAGAGGAGATTATGTGTTTCTGTTTTATGGATCTAGCAATGGGCTTGGCAGGGAATTACCTGGAACGATATGAAATGTTGTCTGTGCAGTGCAGTGTTCAGAATGGTTGTTGTGTGTACGCCACGGGTTCGATCATCAACAGAAGTGGTTCAGATAGAAGTGATTGTACCCGACCTAAAAAGCCTCTGTATGTTTCTAATAAGCTCCACGAGCAGAAACGTGCTCAAACTAGGATCAATATTGGAGATGCTTTTGAAAAATGGAGAGAGGTTAGAACACAGAAAGGTTTACAGACCGATGCAGAGCTGGATAAACACTGAAGCTTCAGTGTCCACCACATGGTGACCTGTGTGAGCATCGACTCTAGAGAGGAGGGGGCGGGGGGAGACACAGCTCTCTACAATGTTTAGAATTTGGACTGCAGTTCCCGTTTTAAACACTAGGAGTCAGAGTTACATATTGCTCCTTTAAGGCCGTTCTATGTGACCATTGCTTTGATTGTTAGGCAGAATTAACTTCAACATAATTAATGTCCAGCCTTAACCAAGTGGACTTTAAATCTGATGTGGTTAAAGTTAGCTAGTAACATTTTAATCTGGGTCCACAGTGGGTTTTGGGTTTTCTTTTGCTTTAACACATTTTACACTTCCTACAGAAATGAGCATGTATAAATAATTGACCACTAGTCTAGTATGAGGCAAAAAAGACTCTGCAGATGTACAAAAAGTCAACAGGCTTGCCTTTGGTCGTTGAAATGTCAATAGTGTTGTGGTTCTGTGAGGTGT